CAGTAATTGTATTTAGTAATCTTTTATAGATTTTATTCAGTATTTGAGCTGTGCTTCAGGGAGTCACTACTTGTACTTACTTGCTGGGATAGGGGTTGTCGTACATTCTCAAAATTCAACAATTCACGGTCCTTGTGCTTAACATTGAATGGTTACTGTTTAGCTTTCTCTCCTCTGCTGTCAAGTGTTGATATTTCTGATAGCATTTCCATTCTAACTTCAGGTTTGATTAAAGCAAGTTAGGGGTAAATTAGGTAATTTTTTTTAGTATATTATAGAGACTGCCTGCCCATCCTGTTGGATAATGAGATGTGAAGTTGTGATGGAAAGGATTTGGAATTTGTGTTAGAGGCAGTTCAAGTAAGACTGCTGTGACAGGAAAAGATGTAGTCATTCACTGTACTGTAAACTATAACAGCTACACTTAGTAAATACAGAACTTATAGTTCTAAAATAATACTGCATGTAGTTGTGGACAAAAAAAAAATCAGCAGGGACAGAGGAAAGTGGTTTATGGGAGGATATGGGCAGGTGGGGACTTGGTAACATCTAATGAAGGTGGTGATTAAAATTGCAGTTTTCTTTCCACGCCACAAATTTATTTTTTAAATTGTGTGGTGGGTGTAGCTCACACTCCCTCCCTGCCGAATTCCCTTTGTTTGCAAACTGTACGTGACAGAATTTGTACAGTATAATGGATGTAACAACAGGCTTACAGTATTCATTTTTATCCCTCCCAACCTTAAAAGAGTGGAGGAATATGGAAAAATGATGTTTGTGTGATTGGAAATTTTGTTCGGATCAAACTCCAAAATAATAAGAGGTTGGAAATTTTTGGCCTTAGAGAAATGTATTCACACTGCTTTACATACCCTGTATTTTTTGTGGAGATCACGAGAATGCTTATAATGCAACCATAATATTGTCTTTACTTGCTGGTGTGTGAGGTCTCCTCTGAGTAAGGACAATGTTGATGTTGCAATACAAACATTCAATAATTTCCACAAAAATCTTAGGCAGGATTTTTATTTTATTTTATTCATTTTTTTATTCCCCCCTCCATGTGTGCATGCTTACACACATGTATACAATTAGGAATTTTGCTATTTTAAATTTAAAAGTCAATGTAAACATTTTTTATGGAGATTTCATGATTTCCTACGGAACTACAATTTCCGTAAAATGGGGCTGAATTTTTTTATATACTGTACGGTATATGATCATGGTGCTGGAGGTGTTTGTTGCTAAATCTGGGAATATTGAACACGTATATGCCACTTTCGAATTATGCCCCATGAAGTGTGATGAAGTTGATACTGAGCAGACATACGTACTGTAATTTGTGTTGGGGTAGGAAGAGAGAGGCTGCCATTTCAACAGTGTTCTCATTACCAACACTCCTAGAATGTTTGTGATTTGATCATATTAAAATGTTTACAGCTCCATGGCTTATTTAAAATATTATGTGATATTGTGGCACGGTTGAAGTAGCCATTTGTTCCACCTGAAGCAGTGAACTTGTACAATTTTGCATGTTGCCCTCTGCTGTAATGGAGAGCTGATAAGTGGAGAACCTCGAGCAGAAGACAGTGTGTAGGTCTCATTTGTTTATTATTTTCATGGTAATTTTTCAGCTGAGGGGATGTGAGTCTTTGCATTCTTTCTTAGTACTGTACTGTATGTTGTGTTATCGGATAAACAAGGAACATCTGGATCACATCATTCCACAACTTGGCTTGTCACTCACTTTGTACTGTAGCCAAAGATCAGGTGGACCAAGCCACAAAGTCTTGGTAGTGATGTGAATGTAGTTGTAGATCTTGTGTGTGTGTGAATGACTTACAAAGGTGTGGGAGTAAATACAGTATATATCGACAAATGTTTATGATTGAAAATGGGTTTGACTTATACAGTATACTCTCAATTTAATAGAATCCAGTATAACGAATTCTTGATTTAGCAGAAAAAAATGTTTCCATTATTTTTCACTTGATTTAATAGAATCCAGTATAACGACCTCTTGATTTAGCAGAATTTTTCCGTTATTTTTCACTTGATTTAGTGAACTAGTTCGTGAAATCGAGGTTAATTCCATTAATACGCTCACACCTACGGAGACACCTCAAACACATATGTACATAGAAGCATTACTAGGGGGTTTTGTGTTTCTTTTAATTTTTTTTCTAGAATTTCCAAACCTTTTCCAATTGATAGCTGCACTCTTTTGACTTTTCCCCCACACCAGTTCCTTTCTGAGACTTCCGAGAGACTTTTGGCTTGATGTCTAAGCACAGTAGTGAGTTGACCGAGAGGTAGCAGTGAACAACACATGCAGTGATGGCAGGACACAGACTAAGAGAATATATACAAACACCACATGCCAAGCAGTGGATTGGCACAGAATTTAACAGAATCATGCTTGATTTAGTGAACAAAATCGCTAAAGCGAGCGAAAATAATGGAATTTCGATTTAGCGGAAATTTTTATTTAATGGAAAGGGGTGGTTCGAATTAGTTCATTGAATTGAGAAAAATACTAAGGTGGACACATCAAATGACAGTGTCACGGTTCTTACATGTTAGTGCAATGAATCCTACTTTACAAAACATTTTTTTTTTCTAATTGTTTATCTCTTTTTAACACACTAACATTGTTATTGTTTATAAATTGCCTGTGTTGTAACTTGTGAAAAATGCCTGAACCCAAAATGTCAGGTTTTCTCATCCCACTCATACAGGATTTAAAATGTGTGGTGTCTTGTCTCTTGGACTCTTAAAATTTACTTGTCTTTTTGTATCAGAATTTATTTAAACTTATTGAAAATCTTTATATGAATGATTGATGTCCTTGTCACAAGATGGTTCCTTTCCGTTAGTTTTTGGCCGAGTCTTGGTCTTTTAAATTCATTTTAATCCCAGCCAGAAGTCATCATTTATTTAGGCCCACGTTTCTGTGTTGTGAGGCCAGCAGCGCCTTGATGTACCACAAAGACACTGTATTAAACTTAAAGACAGTTAGATTGTGTATCATGACTATTAACTCTTCGCTAAGTGTCATGAGATCAAGATGATGATAATAATAATATCTGGTCTTTTGTTTCTCAAAAGTGTCAGTTCTTAAAACTTCACTAGCACTCAAAACACTGCCAAGTCAAGTATCTGAGAAGAAAAGGAAATACAGTATAATACTACAAAAAAAATCACAAAAAGTGATAGTTGGATTTGTATCCATTCATATACCCTTAAGTTGTAACACTTCCTAAACCCTGTATCCTCTTCAGGGTCAAAAGTTTTCTGAAAAAGAAAGGTCTTAAGTTGTTTCTTGGCCTCCACAGAAGTCAGCTGCTTCATGGATGCAGGCAACCAATTGTACAGTCTTGGTGCGATATAGGAAATGTCATTGAGTGTTTTATCCTAGACTACAGTACCTAAAATTCCAAGTAGAAATCACAGTTATTCATCCTCTACGATTCCTCTGTTGTTTTGTTAAGGGTATGTGAGACTACAGGTGATAAGGGAAGAAACTATCCACTGAGCTCTAGCCCACATTTAGGCCAGTAAAGATGCTTTGACCCTGAGTTACATCATAAATATCTCTTTCTCTCTCCCTTTCTTGTTCTCATGGTAATTTCCAGTGTCTGATTTAGTGTTTTATTAGAACCCAGATATGTGTAATAATCATTGCTGCTCCTCAAGTTTTTAGTCCTCTGGAAACAGAGGGAGATAAGGAGGAATTCTTACTGAATAAGCCTCTAGCCATCAAGTCAGATTAGTCATCCCCCCCTCTCTCTCTTTCTTCATCTTTCTCCAGTTTTGAGTCCGGGGTATTGTAGAGCTCAAGGTTGGATTTCCAGAAACTGGGTTGTCTCTTAATAAGTTTAAACATCAGTCACAAGTTTCCTTTTTGTCCCATAGAGATTCTTTTGTAAAACATTATGACTTTCTTACAGGCCTACCTTAAGTTTACATTAGACCAATTAAGTTAAATTCTGTTGCATCATCTTCCGTGATGGATTTCCAGGTGAATCATATCTACTATACTAAATTAGCACCCTTTATGTATGGTTTTGCTTGTGATAAACCCTCTTGTGCAAGTAAGTTTTTAAGTTTCCACACTTGCAGTCTGGGAATCTATATTCTGTGGGCAATTTATCACTGGCTCCATAAATGTTTTGGCTTTAACGTAAGCAGAGGGGAAAAACGGGAATAAGACTTTTTTCACTCTGTATAAAGAAAAAAAAAAGGTGTTACTAACATTACATCAGTTATTTTCTCACAAACGTACCAAAGTATTATCATAGTTTTAGAAGGGAAAATTTATGAGTTTTCCAATAGTTGCTCTTAAATTTTTATACAACAAATAGTGGGAAGGGTGGGAGAAGAGTTAGAGGGACACATGAGCTACCAGCACAGCTGACAGGAGGAGATTGATGGACAGTGGAACTCCACACATGAGAAATTGATAGTTATCTTGTTTTTTTATTAAATTACGCAATTAGTGTCACCGCTGCAAAAATTTTACCCAATGATTTTATATGATTCACCTCAAAATGCTTGAGTGTTAATTACAGTGTATACCAATATTACAAGCACTTTGAATGACAAGCTTAAACACGGAGCATCAATATTCCACACATCCCCAATGTGTAAGTGGTCTGACCAACACAGCCAGGCTATACACTGAGTTTTAATATGAAGCTCAACATTTATTAATATTTTATTTTTTACACTACTTTATTCCCAAATAATATAAGTAATAAATGTGTTATTTAGTAAAATTATACTTATTCTTTTTTCATTATTAATGTATAATGAGATTTTATGATGAGAATTTGTTAAGCATCTGGTTGGTGTACAAAAAAAAAATCTAATAAAAAATCAAGCGGATTTTTTTACATAGAGACCTAACATTTTGGTGCAAGAATGTAGAAACCTTAAAGAGTTAGCTAAACATTTTTGTTTTGACTATTATACATTATTTGTATCTATCTTTCTTGCAGAGGAGGATGAAACGCAAATTTTTGTGAAATTCTTTGAGTTCCATCACACGTATGACCTCATTCCCATCAGTGCCAAACTCGTGGTTTTTGACACCAGGCTCCAGGTTAAGAAGGTGAGATTCCTACTTTCATCTTGATAATTCTCTCTAGTTTGATAAGAAAGACTTGCTGTGAAGATGGTGTCAGTAAGGGGAGTGTAGTACTTGAATTTGTAACTAACCATTGACTCTATGACTTTTCATATATTGTTGTAATAGAAAAAAGCCCCAGGATCTAGAGTAGTAAAGCAAAGTATATGACTTGGGGTCCCTCTCAGTGGGGCATTACTGTAATGCACATATTTTTACTATCTAAGTGGAAGTGATTGATCACATATTTGTTACAGGCCTTCTTTGCACTGGTGTATAATGGAGTACGAGCTGCCCCGGTCTGGGATTCTGGACGACAACAATTTGTGGGAATGCTCACAATCACAGACTTCATCCGCATTCTTCAGAATTTCTATAACTCACCCAATCGTAAAATGGAAGAGCTAGAGGACCATCGGCTTGAAACTTGGCGCAGTAAGTATAAAGTTAAGCTTTACTTTCTCTACCCTGGCTGTAGTATGCAGAGGAACTATATTACCTTGCTCCTGCCATCCATTTTAAAGATAGGGAAAGAAAAATTAGTAAAACTTAAATTAACATGGCCATTCAGTAGGTTTAAGGTTTTTAACCATTGCAAAATAGAAAGCAGGTGTGAGTACTATTAGTATGTTTCTTCCATGTTGTGAAAACCTGTATTCACAAACATCTAGACCATTTTGTCATTGATATGGGGGAATGAAGGTCTACTGTAAGAAAAGTTAGGGTTGAAATGGAAATTGTGAGTAACCCACCCAAGCTTTATAGTAAAACCCAACGTAAGATCTAATTTGATGATAACATACACTAGGAGCAAAATATTTTTCAATAAATAGTGTAAGCCTTAGAAAAATATATGTTTTACATTTAAAAATTTTAAAATTGGTATGCAAGCACATTAATCCTTGAATATCTGCATAAATTCATATCCTGTTTCTTTTTTGCGAGTACAGCACAGTATTTATAAACTTTAACTTTTCCAGCCGTGTTGGAGGATGAAGTACGGCCATTGATCAGCATTCGACCAGACGAGTCTCTGTATGTTGCAATACGATCTCTCATCCATCATAAAATTCACCGTCTCCCTGTTATTGATCCCGCCACTGGCAATGTTCTGTATATTGTCACACACAAGCGCATTCTCAAGTTCCTTTACTTATATGTAAGTATATTTGCACTCATTTTTAAACAAATATTATTTCTCCTTACTCAATATTCCACCATATATATATACATGTATGTATGTATGTATATATATATATATATATATATATATATATATATATATATATATATATATATATATATATATATATATATATATATATATATATATATATATATATATTAATTATATAAAGTCTTTCCTACAATACTAGTACAAGAATGAGCAAATGCATATCTCTGTAATAGATGTTCTGGAATGGTATTTTCTTTCTTAAACAAGGCCGCATATGTTTTATTCACATTAATTCACACAATATAGTGTCATCCATGTGCTGCACATCCTTCCCCCAAAACTATGCAATATTATCCTCTATAGTTGTTCACTGCTGTCCTCTGTCTTCTCTTACCACTCACATATAGAGCCAATATAATAATTCTAGCCTAATTCCACTTTTTATAAGGTTCTTTGTATATTACACATTTTTCATTGCAACCATGACCTCCTTACATACTAGTTAATAATGCCCAAATATCTGAAACACCACATTTTCCATCAAACTAACTCACATAAAAATACCCAAGCAAACCTGATTTTAACTGTAAAAGGTCTTAAAGTATACAAATATGTCCAACTAAACCAGCAGCAACTGCCCTGTACTGTCCTGGTGAGAAGCAGTGGCTGCATTAGAAAGTATGAATGTTGTTACCGAGATTTACTGAATATTTTATCAACACTACTACAATAGTATATCAAACATTATCAAACCCTAGAGAATTAAAGAATATCATCAAAATCATATTTACTATAAAAATGTCTTAAATGTGCGAGGCAATTGGTGATAGTAGTCTTATTCAGTGAGAGGGGAGCAGAATTAGTTCTATCATATTTTGTTTTCTGTACACCCCTGTATTTGCATTGCCAGGCCAAATACAAGCAGCATAAATCTTAGCTGTAATAACTACAAACTATGCATCTTCCATTATCACCTCTGTATTAACTCATTGTTAGATTAGGTTTTGGGTGAAAATTTTGAAATGGGCATTTTGGGTTTGAAATAAATCTCTGCTTTTAACCTAAGATATTATGAGAAAATAGGTCCAGTTTAGTGAGAATTCAATTAAGAAAGACTTTAAAAACACGCCTCTTGTTAACCCTTAAGAGTTGGCTAAGGATTTCCTACTGTGCCCTCGTTTACAAAAATGGAACACACAGACCATGGAATGTCCACTGACAATGGCTGCCATCCCTTCAGTTAAGTTTCATTGATTATGGCCACTGTTGAAGGGTTAAAGCACAATCATATTTTTTATAATTTCACAGGTACAATACTTTTAAAGGTTTTCTTTAAGTCCATAGTTCCCAAAGTATTTTACATTGGAAATTTGGAATTGAAGTGCTCAAGGTAATTTCTTGTGAAGTGGTGAAAATGTAGTTAGGCTTTTCTCTTTGTGAAACCACAAGTAAGAGAGAGGTCCTAAATATAGTGCATGGTTTGGTCTGTAAATACCATAGTTTTGGGGGCAGAAAAGTGTATTAATGTGATTTTGAAAGCAAATAGGGCCACATACACAGACCTTTGATTTGCTTCATCATCATTTTATGTAACTGATCACACTTGAATAATTTACATTTTCTTGTTTTTCTCTCCTTTACCATTTCCTCTGGTGGTTCATCCCGGCCCGCACATAGGATTAAAGGGGACATAAAAAAAAGAGACGTAGATTACATAATGGATATATCTTTATTTTTATTATCAAAACATTTTCAATCTCCAGGGCTTAAAACACCTTTCTAAATACAGTACACTATTTAGTTGAGAGAATTTATCATATATTGATGTATACTGTCCATATAATTTTAGAGATCTTTTCTCATCATTTACCTTTTTTTCCACAGATCAGTGAGCTGCCCAAGCCGTCCATCCTGCAGAAGCCTCTAAGGGACCTGGAAATCGGCACGTATAAAAACATAGAAACAGCAAGTCAGGATACGCTCATTATAGAAGCTCTTAACAAATTTGTGGAACACAGAATCTCTGCCTTGCCCATTGTAGATGCTGAAGGAAAACTGGTTGATATTTATGCCAAGTTTGATGTCATAGTGAGTATTGTGTGCATGTTCAAGAATCAGTATTTTCTTGTCACTGCTGAGGTTGCCTGTTAATAGGATAAATTGAGTTGGGTCATCAATTAGTTTATTTGTATATCATTGCTGTGAATGTAGTTAGACATAAGTGTTACGCTTGTCTTCCCATATACTGTACAATATACAGGTACTGTATATGTGTTAAGACTAGGCAGACTTTATCTTGATGTATGTATATGTACAGTACGGTATATCATTCTGGTGTAATGGTCAGCATACTTTCCTCGCAAGCAAGCAGACCCGGGTTCGATCCCTGGGCAGGGTGAAACTATGGGCAAGTTTCTTTACGCCATTTGCCTCTGTCTACCCACCAGTAATTGGGAACCTGGATGTTAATTGATTTGTAGATCGTATTCCGGGGTAATGGTTAGCCAGTGCAGTTGGCGAGTTGTCCGGTCTTCTTAGACTATTCCTTGACACCGAGTCATGCAACTCGTTAACTAGGGTATGGTTGTTGTGTTGGCGACAGCCTCTGCACCTTAAACAAGTTCACGCCTAGGTAGCCCTAGGGCCGGCCATCCGCGTTACACAAGGGGCAACCATTATATAATTCTGGTAAATTTTCTCTAATAGTATGATTGTTGGTATGTACAGAAACATAGAATATATAAAAATGTGTGTAAACTCGTACTAAAATGAAATTCCCTCCTTAGAAAACTATGGTTGGTACGTAGATAAGTACAGTACTCTATCAATGTTTGTATTCAACCATTTTCTTTGTCTTACAGAACCTTGCAGCAGAGGGAACATACAATAACCTAGATGTGACTCTACGCAAAGCTAACGAGTATCGCAATGAGTGGTTTGAGCAAGTTCATAGCTGCACATTGAACGAAACATTTGGAACCATTATGGAACGTATTGTTCGGGCAGAAGTACATCGTCTAGTGGTGGTAGATGAGATGGGTCGAGTTGTGGGTGTCATATCTCTCTCAGATATTCTCAAAGAACTTGTTCTCAAGCCCTGTAGTAAGTATTAATATGCAGTTCTGTACTTAATGTTGTACAGCTTACATTGCTTGGGGCATAAGGGTTAAGGATCAGACACAATTTAGCTAGAGTTTGTAAGGTTTGGTACATATGTTCACTGTATTTAGTTATTGTAAATGTACTAAGTTCATTGATAGACACCAGTACATTATCTCAGTAATTAAGCTATTGTTTCTATGTTACAGATGATGTTGAACCTAATAATTTGCAAGCAGCAAAGGTGAGTCAGATGGAGGAAGTACTGACTCACCCAGAATCAAACTTGTCTTCAAAATCCTCAGCTGATAGTTCTCAATCTGAAGTCAATGCAGTTCCTCCTGACTCAGCTCTAACAATTAATGGTGTTCATGTGGCAGAAAGTGATGAGAGCTTTGGTGAGAAATGGAGTAGTGATGATCGCTTAAGTCAAGCCTGTAGTACCAGTAGTGGACAGGCAGACAAGAGCTCTGCCAAGTCATTCCCGGCTGACAGCGAGGACGAAAACCGTTACTGTATAGAGAACACGGAAGATATGCCACCAGTGCCACAACCAGAGGTTATTCCCATCACAGGTTGAAAACACAGTTGAATGAAATATGTAAGTGGTAAGACTTTGACTATAATATATGCATTATTTACCACTAAAAAAACATGAATATGACAGATTATATGATTTGTTTACTGTTTCTATGAATAATAAAATTATTCACTATTTAAGCCACAACTTTTGAGGCCACAGTGGTCACTTCTCATAATTGATACCTTTGCAAATGGAAGTTATTTGTGATAGATACAGTTTGAATAGCACATCAGGTAATATATGCCTTTTTTTCCAGTCAAGTATGCATTCATGATCTCTTCCACATAGAATGCAAAGAAAGACAAAATTTGAAGTTGTCAGGTTAAGCAGTAACTATTTGTAGCGGCACATTAATATATTTAAATGAAATGTGATAAGCTGGCACTCTTAGGTAGCCAACCCCCTAGCCTAGCACCAGTTCTATTTCAATATTTGCAAAAGCATGTGCGGCAGTGCTTTTGAGAAATTAAAGATAAGAGGTAACACTGCTACATAGCTTCAAATTAATATTTTAAAAGAGGACTAAGTGTTACTGCACTGATTGTCCAGTTTAGTGCTTTCAGAGGTACTGTTGTCAGTTCTGCTAGTGCTTGTTCAATTGACTGTTTGGGAAACATTGTTGTGTAGCAAGTTATAAGTGAATGTGTCAGTTAAATTGGTCGAGTGTGTTTATATAATGATAAAGATATTTCATTTTGCAATCACCCTTAAACTTAGCTAAACTATAAGCATTAATTGGTGGTAATTGAAAAGTTAGTGATAAAATTTTGTGCTAAAGATTCACTTCAGTATTATTTTTATTCTTATACACATTTATGATTTGACCAGGAAATATGGTACAAGTGAAGATCATTTTCTGTAGCAATTGCTGCTGCATTGTCACCACTAAATACACATGAAACTATATCATCAAAGTCTTGGCTTGCTGACTAGGGCCCTGTCATAGCAGTACAGCCACTTTCATTTCAATGTCAGTGATATGTTAAGCCTCGCCCTGGGAACGGGAGGGTATTGTAATTGGGCTGTGTGTGCGTGTCCGCGAATATGTCTGCACCAGTGGGCGAGGGTTAGCATTGTACCAATGCGCTTGTTATAAACTTGTGGAAGGCTGTCTTTTTCAGGTACATGACAAACAAATAATCATATTATCTACACTGCTGTACAAATGGAGCCCTGGTTCAGCCACTTTCGTGATATGTTAAAAATGAATACTATTTTTTAAGGTGGGGGATTCCAATAGTGCAAAACTCCTTATAATTAAGTCTGGGCCTTATCTTCATTTTTACCACAAGGTCAGAAAGTTTTAATGGACTATTTCATAAGAGGATAGGATTTGATGTTTTGATGCCTACAGGAGTACTTAATAATGAAACTGTCCATAAGACTGTTATCCCTTGCTCAATACATGTATTAGGATTTTGGCAGCAAGGAAATGGGGATTAATTCACTGTTGAGAATTAAACCTATTCAAGTAGCACCCTTAACAAGAGGGAGAAGTTTAGGTACGTGCGTCAAAAAAAAAAAAATTATATATATTGTATATATATATATAATATGTGATTACACTGAACAAGAACTAATTATGGCAGTGCTAAATGCAACGAAAAAGTTCTATGTTCTATGACGTGACGTAAAAGTAGGGTGAAAAAGTGTGATTGTGGTTCTGCATTGGCATACTGGTATTTTAATGCACTTCCTTTTCTTGTTACTTGAGGGAGTCTTTAATGAGGTTCATCCTGTAGTACATCACTGTGGTTAAGAGCTGTGTTCATCCTCATTGTTTAACACAATTACTTGTTGTATTTTGTGCCTCATTGTAACTTTTTTATGAATTATTCATCCATTGTTTAGCTTGTAAATAATGAGTAATATTGATATACCAGTTAGTGACTCATCATGCCTTGTACATAACCATGTATTCCTTGACCCAAGTATAATAAATGATTTAATAATTATGATGTGTTGTGTTTCTTAGTCATTACTGCCTTTCAACTAACCATAAATTATTGGGTAGAGAATTTATGCATTACACAAGAAGTAATGATAAACTTGAGTAAAGTTAATGCAGTACAGGCATCCCCCAGGTTATGGAAATTCAAGCTTGGGTAAATTTTTTGGTTTTCAAATAAATTTGCAATATGGAAAAAAAAAATTTCAAGATTATAACATTTATTTTGTATGGATTTATCCGTGGTTGCTACAATGCGGTGGAGGATGGCGCACCAACAGTGCTCCGTTTAATTTCAAACCCCAGATTGTTCGGTTTTGCATCTGTGTTCAGGACTGTGTTACTGTGTACCCTTACACAAGACGAGTGGAAAGAGGCCATCACGTTCAAGTGAAAGCAGTGGTGCCAAAAGATTCTGCAAAGGCATTGCATTGGACATTAAACTTGATGTTTTAAGAAGGTAATTCTGATGTCACCACCTCATGCAGCACTCAACATCGTTTCTGGTGAGCTAATTTCAAGTAGTGTGTGCATTTATTACGGAATACATCATAACTAATCAATGTACAGTAGGCTCTCGCCAATAACGTTTAATAGGTGCCTGAAAAGTATTTAAATATTCCTCATGTTCTAACTAAATTAAGTAGGCCCCACGCTTAAACATTTATTTGCCTAAGACTGAAAAAGCAGTTATAAAGGCACCTATTAATCAAATTAATTGCAATCCATATTTTATGCCTAATATCATTTAATTTTGGCTAGCCTATGGAAATTTATAGCCTTTCATGTTATCATAAGCCATATACATAAGAAAACGTCAAACGAAAAAAAATTGCAAAAAAAAAACGGCTAATTTCCGCCAAAAAGGAAGGTCATATTCGGTCTCAGCACACATAAATACACTAGAAAAATATATTTTTAACTTGCTACAAGTGAACGGAGCTACAAGAAAAATTTACCGTTATTTCACTCGGGAACTTCAGGAAGTTAGTGAATCTATTAAGTTTCACAAAAGGTAAAATTTTAGTTCGGTCATCCCTGTATTTATATATCCAAATTATGTGATTTCCGATAGATATGAAGGTCCAAATCGTTCAAAACACATGAAAAACCATAAGAAAACATAGTTTGGATGTCTAACCTAACCTGATTCCCCCGATGATCAAAACTAAAATAATACCTCACAAAATTCCTAATTTATTGTATTTGTTTTTAACCTGTTTTCAAAGACCAACCATGATCAACTCAGTGGTGACTCCCAGGAATTTCTGTTATTGAGGGCTTGCTCAGGAATTTTGAAATTACGTGGCACATTTAAAACTGAGGTGTCATTATACTTCTACTTTTTTAATTTCAATGACTAATGAATTTAATATAAAATAAATGATTGTTATAATTTTAAAATATATTACTGACTAACCTTAATTAATTAGTTGAGTCAACCTGACATGGAGGCAAGGAACTGTCATCTGGTTATAGTATCTGGTCAGGGCCTGAGATAACAGCTGGAGTACTGTCACCCCATCTGGTCCCCGAGATATGCTCGGGACTGTCAGTTGGTTGAAAATGTTCAAAGGAGGGCCACCAAACTGGTGCCTGCACTTCGGCATCTCAGCTACCCTGAGAGATTGGAGCGCCTGAACTTGCCTAGCTTATACTACAGACGGGCAAGGGGGGACCTAGTTGAGGTTTATAAGCATCTCAGGGGCACTACTCAGTTGAGTGTCCTTACTTGGAGCTGGCGGACGCTCGCCCCACAAGGGGTCACAGCTCAAGATTGAAGAAGCCGCAAGTCCAGAAAACCGTGAGGGCAAACTTTTTCGGAGTGAGGGTTGTAAACTCTTGGAACAATCTACCAGAGAGTGTTGTGACGGCACCGAGTGTGAGCTCTTTCAAGAGAAGACTTGACCAACACTGGAGCGGGTTCAGGTACATTCAGGAGCCGGTGCATGCCCAGTATTTGCCAACAGTGCGTGACAGAGACGTGACCGATCGCCCAAGCGGCTAACAAGCCGATCAGTGGCGAAGAGGATAAAACAAAACAAAACAAAACAATCAACATAAAATTTAAAGTCTCTGTGGCACCTATGACACGACTTGGTTTCAGCTGGCACGGTGCCTTTCCAGCTTGCTTGCTAGTGAGCGCTCACTTTAAGTTATTTACAACTTCAGCGGTCACTGATGACACTATGAACTATCACTGTGTACACTGTATCTCCCTGTGAGTGGTGTATTATAAACACAGATTCAGTCCTTGAGAAAGCACACAAACAAAATAAAATTTAAAGTCTCTGTGGCACCTATGACACGAATAGGCTGGCAGTTGTCCTTACCAGCTCGATTGCCAATATGTATTCACTTTAAGTTATTATAGTCTCTTCTGCATTCACTGATGACAACTATGAACTGATTTAACTGAAGGCACAGTACTACACTCCCTGGTTGGCCTTTATCACAGCCGTGACCACAACACCCTAAAAAATAAAATAAAATAAAAGCTTTGTCATGTGGCAGTGATTGTGTGGTTATAGGCCTGTGACCCTGGCTGTACCTCCAACTCGGTGGAAATTGAGTTTTCAAAAATACAATCGTGTCTAGCATGAAAAGTCCGACATCGATTTACACTTTCACCTCACTAAGACGATCTTGACGAACTTATGTAATCACTGTCCAATTTCTGCCGCTCTACATCGAAGGCCCGGATGACCAACACGCTTTGTTACAGAGACGCAACACGACCCGCCCTCCCGCCATTTCTTTAAGTGAGTCGGTGTTGTAAATAAATTATTAGTTTATTATTTAAGGGAAGTACTTATCGATGTCACTGAAGGAAATTTAAATAAAATATATTGGTAAACAAAAATAAAAATTCTAATGTCGAATTTCATGTCTCCGTTCCTTTTATGAAGACTTAAATATATGCTTGTAAATGTTAACGTTATAGATTATTACAGTAGTAAGTGAATTAGGGGTCACCTGTTATTATCATACGTTTGCTTACGAACTAAGAGCAATGACGTTTATCGACCATAGCTTTTAAAGAGATGAAATCGATATTGAGTAGTAAGATCCAGTGTTCGTTTGTACATGTTGACATCTCTTTCTTGGTGATACTGTGTGCTAACTTCACCTTAGATCATACTTTGATATGAAATATAATTAATTTCTCATCAAATATTTAGAATTACTGAATTATAGAGGATTATATAAAAAATAAATTAATATACGAGTAGATGAAGTTTTGAATCACATGTTCCGGACACGAGGCAACGTGCGGCAGGGGTGCGCGAAACAAAACGACCTGTGTTAATAGTTCACCACGAAGAAGACTAACTAAACCATATATTTTTTCATGTGACACAAACCAACCGGAGTTATCCTAAAAGATATAAAATTATTATGGCATTATTAATTTAAGAATAGTAATAATAGCTTGTATATAGACCATCTGCTTTGAAAAGAAAATAATATTGGTTTTGAGGATCTCGTTCGTGGTGATTGAGTTAACACTGGCCAGACTGTGTGCGCACGCAGGGACACAGGAGCTAAACACTGGCACTGAGTGACAGTCGCCAGCTCGCAACCATGGCGTCTATAGTCTTAAAATCTCTATCTGTATTACTGGGTATATTCTTTATTTTTGTAGGCACAACGAAATTAACTCCACAGATCAGCAAGGAACTCCATAAAGACCTCGTAAGTATGGAAGAACAGGAATACTCGTGTTTATCTCTGGGTCACATCAACCATCTTTCCAAACTAGTGATTCTTATTGTAATTACAAAAGTCAAATGTACCAGGAAATAACTGTAAGGGATGTTTAGTTAGTATTTAACGAGTGTAGTGTGAGCAGTCTTTATTTTGAGTCTTCAGCTTACTTCTGTGGCCTACATAACACATCGTCGTGCTACCAGAGGCAAAACATGATGCTGCCGGCATGATCTCTCGAGCCAAGCTAACACGGTACTTACAGCTCCTGTATCTAAAATAAATCACCTTGATGTGAATATGACCTAAATGACACATATTTGGGGTTATTTTAAATGTATATAGTTATCAATTGAACAAGAACCTCGTTATAAACATCTCTGGCTCACATCTTCACACTTTTACTGATGCTGCAATCATTCTCACTATACACTGTACATTATTATAACGTGTAAGTTTATTTAATAAGTAGATTCGAAAATTACACTTATCACATTATTATTTTGTATTTTTACTAGTTCTACACAACAATGGCTTACAGTCATCTATATACACACAATTACATTATGATTTATATATATCAACATTTACCATAATACGCTGTCATATAGTGTATAACTATATATACCCACTTAGGGTTTAAATATAGGTGTCTCAGCTGTCATAAGTACTGACCACAAGTCTTACCATGGACAAATCGTTGCCTATTTACTACAACTAATAACAAAAATAAATTAGGACTACACAGACTTTGTACAGTACTTACACAACGGCCGTAGAAAAGAAATTGTACAGAATTTATCGCCAAAGAAGTTAAAAACACAATTGTTGTATCCGTGAGAGAAGCTGTGTAGGCGGTAACTTTACCTTTATACAGTACACCGTAGGTAGGTATACGGACATCTGAAGTGACATATATATTTGTGGGTGTAGTCAGATGTATATAGTATTTGTAGTTTGTATTAAATGTATATTGTCTACTACGTGTGTTAGTGTATGACCACATATGTGACTTTGTTTTACTACTAGACATGTGACTTTGTTTTCTACTGGAAATGTGACTGTCCTTGTTTACTACTAGACATGTGACTGTCTTTGTTTATGATTAGATATGTGACTGTCTTTGTTTACAACTAGACATGTGACTCTTTGTTTACTACTAGACATGTGACTTTGTTTACTACTAGAAATGTGACTGTCTTTGTTTACTACTAGATATGTGACTGTCTTTGTTTACGACTAGACATGTGACTGTCTTTGTTTACTACTAGACATGTGACTGTCTTTGTTTACTACTAGACATGTGACTGTCTTTGTTTACTACTAGACATGTGGCTGTCTTTGTTTACGACTAGACATGTGACTGTCTTTGTTTACTACTAGACATGTGACTGTCTTTGTTTACTACTAGACATGTGACTGTCTTTGTTTACTACTAGACATGTGGCTGTCTTTGTTTACTACTAGACATGTGACCTTGTGTTAAAATATTACCACACACGTGTACTACCACACACATATGACTTGGAGTATTTGTAAGAGTGTAGGTTGAATCTGTGAGAGTGGGCAGGGGGGCAGGGAGGGAAGATCGGTGTGAGGGAGAAGGGAGAGAGATTTGTTTGTGTAATGGTCACACCAGGTGGTTTCCGTCACTTACTTCAGTTATACTTGGCTTCACGGTAGCAAGACACAGAGGGTGGGAGTTGTGATGATTAAGGGAGGGAGGGAGGTGTGATGGTTAAGGGTGGGAGTGAAGTGTGGTGATTAAGGGAGGGAGGGAGGGAAGTGTGTTGATAATGTGTGTGTGTGTAAAGTTTAGGGGGATTGTCACCTTGGCCATCAGTGAGTCATCGCCTCCCTGTTTAATAATAGATCATGTCAACATCACCTCTAACACCTATGCCAACCCTCTGTTTATTTAGCATTACATAATTTATTTATATATATATATATATATATATATATATATATATATATATATATATATATATATATATATATATATATATATATATATATATACACACACAGTACTGTGGATATGTTTTGCCTTGAATATCCCATTTTCCAGAACTTCATAAGTCTCCCAGTTTTCCAGAACCTCATAAGTCTCCCATCTTCCAGAACCTCATAAGTCTTCCATCTTCCAGAACCTCATAAGTCTCCCATCTTCCAGAACCTCATAAGTCTCCCATCTTCCAGAACCTCATAAGTCTCCCATCTTCCAGAACCTCATAAGTCTCCCATCTTCCAGAACCTCATAAGTCTCCCATCTTCCAGAACCTCATAAGTCTCCCATCTTCCAGAACCTCATAAGTCCCCATCTTCCAGAACCTCATAAGTCTCCCATCTTCCAGAACCCCTGAGTAAATAAGTTATCATACATGCAGGAGAAGCTTAAGAGAACGCCGGTAGTCTGGTATTTGTTCATTAGTGTTCTTGGATCAGGCAGGGTACAAGGTTTAAATTGATGCTTCCCATTAATCATTGATCAGAATTTTTTTTAATAAATCTTACAAAGTTACACGTGTTATTGATGGGGTTTGTTCATTCACTTACACTTTCCCATGGTAATAAAATACGGTTCAGCTCTGTTGTGTTAGTTGAGACCATATGGGCAGAGAGGATGTCAAAAACTATTAAATGTAAATCAAAGACAATGCCCTCCAAGTACCTATATCAGTGACTCTGTGTAATGATAAGTTTTGTCTTTTCGCAGCGGAAAGAGTTTACCCGCTACAGCAAGGTTTTCCCATTGGCCCAGACACTCGAGTTCAAGATCCCCTCAAAGTGGTACCGACGAACTGTGGGTGGCCTCGAAGTGTTCTGTGGATTCTGTCTTACCTTCATCCCTTCCAGTAAGTAAAGTCATATTAATCTATAGCCAGTTGTGTTTCTTTTCTATTGTACAGTATTACCCTTCAGTAGGTTCTTTACATCTCTACTTTTCATGCAGCCAATACAAGGTAAAAAAAAATAATGAGTGAGTACAGTACAGTACTATAGACATGATTACCTGTTAGGGGCAGTATGGATACAGCACATATACCCGGTAACTTTACTGCTGGAGAAGTGAAAGCAGTCTAATGCAGTACACGCCACCCTGTCTCTACTTGTACCGGAACTTTGTCTTAGATGCTAGGATGATGACATAAGCTCTCTTCTTCTTTTATGTACTAGGTGATCTAAAAATAGTTTGATACTGAAAACTGTACTTATACAGTCTCACCCAATTTGTGATCCATAACACTGGTTTCCCAAAACTTACATCTTAGGCGGACTCGGAAATGGTTCAGGTGTTTGAGTGGACAGTTTGCTACCAGTAACTCCTTCCATTTAATTGTTAGAAACAGAGCTGATGCTGTTTCCTTTATACAGTAGTTCCTGTTCAGATTATCACTGCCTGTGTCTTGACATGTAAATACTGTAATGACGAGCAAATACAGCCCCAGCATAGGTACAGTATATCTATCTCACATGCTAATACCTTTACATTTATGCTCTTAATTGGCGAAATATATGGGGAACTGCAAACGTTGGCCTTTCATAGTACAGTATTGTGTATGGAGACGTTTGAAACAGAAAGTCAGAAAAAATACAGATTTCTGAACTTCAAGATGTTGATTAAGGAATATGTTATCTAATTTATTTTGTGTGTACAGTATAACCAGAACCTCAATAATTTTATGATTAACTTTTAACAAGATATCAGAGACATCCTTAGAAATCTTTGAAAAGTGTCAATCCCTTGCATGGTACAAGTACCAGAACATGGAAGTGATGCTCAAGATCACAGTCCACCTAAGTAATGTTTCTTAAAATTATTTTACAATCTAATAGAATTTTTAAGTATTATGGGATAAATTTGATCATGTACGAAAACTTAATTTGCTGGCGAAAATTCCATTTATGTCAGCACCTCCGTGTTCTAGATGTGTAGGGAAGACCATCATCAAGTGGGCCACAGGACCTTCACACTGATGAATGAACACACATGGACAGCCATTTGTAACCCAAGAACAAGATAAATTGACCTTAAACTGTATCCATCCATCTATCAACCTTACTAAATGAGCTTGAGAACAGGTTATGAATAATTTCTTGTACGTTTATCATCACTCTTGGCAAACGCCAGAGGCAAGTGAATTATGGGTGGTCCAGGCTTTGTATAGGATGGCCGAGTACCGTTCCATGAATCATTACATCGACCAGGTACACAGTAGGGGGGCCTGACCCATTGTGAGGTGTTTAAGGGGCTCTAGTGGACCCAATTATTGCCCAAGGAACCTGCTGGACTCTATTATGGGCAGACGAACCTCATGAATTCTTTTATATTTAGAGGAACTTGGTGAACTTCCTTACATTTACAATAACTTGGTGAACTTCCTTACATTTACAGTAACTTGGTGAACTTCCTTACATTTACAATAACTTGGTGAACTTCCTTACATTTACAGTAACTGGGTGAACTTCCTTATGTTTACAGTAACTGGGTGAACCTCCTTATGTTTACAGTAACTGGGTGAACCTCCTTATGTTTACAGTAACTGGGTGAACTTCCTTATGTTTACAATAACTTGGTGAACTTCCTTATGTTTACAGTAACTGGGTGAACCTCCTTATGTTTACAGTAACTGGGTGAACCTCCTTATGTTTACAGTAACTGGGTGAACTTCCTTATGTTTACAGTAACTTGGTGAACTTCCTTATCATTACAGTAACTTGGTGAACCTCCTTATGTTTACAGTAACTTGGTGAACTTCCTTATGTTTACAGTAACTGGGTGAACTTCCTTATGTTTACAGTAACTGGGTGAACTTCCTTATGTTTACAGTAACTTGGTGAACTTCCTTATGTTTACAGTAACTGGGTGAACTTCCTTATGTTTACAGTAACTGGGTGAACTTCCTTATGTTTACAGTAACTTGGTGAACTTCCTTATGTTTACAGTAACTGGGTGAACTTCCTTATGTTTACAGTAACTGGGTGAACTTCCTTATGTTTCCAGTAACTTGGTGAACTTCCTTATGTTTACAGTAACTGGGTGACCCCTTTGATGTTGAGAAGAACCTGGTGGTCCTTTTTATGGTGAAGGTGTCGGAAGAAACTGTTAGAAAATATATTATTAAATGGATTCAGGAAATGTATTATGAATAGAACTCAAAATATATTAATTGGACTCAGAAAATGTATTATTAACTGGATTCACACAAGTTTCAGTTCTTTCTATTTTAATTGATTTTTGTTGTTTCAGAACGAATAAAGCAATCAGCCAACCTGGTGTTAGCAGTAATGATGCTGTTTGCCACATACAATCACTGGATGGTCGGGGACAAGTTTGAAAGACTAGCTCCTTCCCTGGTGAGTTGTGTTCTTTACCTACCTGTTGTTTTTATTTTATATTATCATTTCACCACTTAACAGCTTGCTGGCTATTCAGGCAGTTGCTCTGTTCTGTTGCTCTGTTATGACCTGTATTGTTCAGTGTTAGTATAGGAAGAAATCAGAGTACATACCCGGAGAAAACCTGCAATATTTGGTAGGGCCACGAGTGATAACACCCTTCTCACATTTGTCCCAGACTGGGGATTGAATCCAGGACACAATGATGAGTGATACACGTGTTCCATACTTACCTGCTGTTTATACCTGTTAATTTAAGAGTTTCTTTAGCTTCTATGTTAGCTGATCTTCCCTCGTTACTTTCTCCTCTTCATTTATTTACGTTCTTTACAACGAGTACCATGCCTTCCTTTTTTTTCTTACCTTCTACCTGTACTTACCTACCTGCTCTCATTCTTTACTTACCTACCTAACTTCAATACTTGCTGTCATTACCTCTGCCTAATTACCTGCTGTCATAACACTCGCTCTCCTGACCTGCTGTATTAACCTACTCACCTGACCAACACAGGGTATCTCAAGAAATTATTCTTCTGTTTTAGCCTATTTCATTTTAATTGTATTACAGGTACTTATTTTCATGTTACCTTACTAGCCATACAGTCTATTCTCTGTTATTCATTACTAGCAAGTATTAAACATGTCGAGTCTGCATTCAGGGAAACTCATTCTTGGTGCTGTCTGGCAGGTTATTACAAGAGTTCCCAACTCGATTCCAGTACTTTATCTTCTTTACCATTGATTGGCTCATTAGCAGCTTGGGCGGTCGTTTATGTTTCTGCTATGCACTGTTGGCAAGTACTGGTTCCAGAGTGTATCTGTGCCTGTGCCAGTGTTGGTCAAGTCTGGTCTTGATGGGCTCATACTTGGTGCTGTCACAATGCTTTCTGGTATCCCATTTGTCACGTGTATGCATGCTAATTTCGTGCCATTGATCACCATACACTGCTTGCAGCCATGAAAAGAGTTTATGATCCATGCGAGGACACTCCTGTGAATTCCATACCCTTCCAGTTTAATTTGCAACCTTCTATGGGGTATGCTGTTGAAAGCCTTAGCAAAATCCAGGTATATGTTGTCGATATTGCCACCACGCTCCAGGATCTGGGTCTACACATAGAGCACCTTAAGTAATTGTGTCAAGCAGGAGCGTCCCGACATCCAACCATGCTGGCATTCGTATACTAGGTTGTTTCTTAGTAGATATTCAATCAAGACATTTTGTATAATGCTCTCTAATACTTTACACACTATACTGATCAAGCTGCCGGCCTATAGTTATTTGTAGAATACGATCTCCCTGTTTGAATATACAACTTGCATATGCCATTTTCCGGTCACTGGGGATCTTTTGCTTGTCCACACATCTGCAGAACAGGATTTTCAGGGGCTCAGCAGTGCTTTCCCACCTGGTGTACTGTCACCTCATCTGGTCCCAAGATATGCTAGGGACTGTCAGTTGATTGGAAATGTCCAAAGGAGTGCCCCCAGACTGGTGCCTGCACTCCGGCACCTCAGTTATCCAGAGAGATTAATGTGCCTGCAACTGCCAAGTTTATATTACAGACGGGTAAGGGATGACTTAATTGAGGTGTATAAACATTTCAAAGGCACTTACTCAGTCAAGTGTCCACACCTGGAGCTGGCAGATGCCCGCCCCACAAGGGGTCACAGCTCAAGGTTGAAAATGTCACAAGTCCAGAAAACTGTAAAGGCAAACTTTTTTGGAGTGAGAATTGTGAACTCTTGGAATATCCTGCCATAGAGTTTTGTGACAGCACCAAGTGTGAGGTCTTTCAAGACCAGACATGGCCAACACTGGAGCAGGTTCAGATACATTCGGGAGCCAGTGCATGCTTGGTACTTGCCGACAATGTGTAACAGAGATGTGATCGACTGCCCAAGATGCTAACAAGCCGATCAGTGGTGAAGAGGATAAAAATAGAAGTAAAAGTCATTTAACAAATGGGTTAAAATACAGTATAGCAATGCCCACTAATGATATTAATACATATGCATTCAAAGGTCAACTAATTTTAGTTTACAAGCATTTTTGTTGCCAGAAAAACAGCAGTATAGTATTTTGCTTCAGAAAGAATAGAAATGGCATAAACATCAGCCTTATTGGTCAATTTGGCCAGCAGTTTGAGTGTAATGAAAGCCTTGCATTGAATATGTTCCTAATTTTTTACAGGTGTTCTTCTTCATGCTGACGTGCAGACTGATCGTGGAGTATCAGATACGCAGGAAGGAGAAGGTGGACAAACTGGCCCCCAAAAAGGCATCCGGCACCGATACGAAAGAGGCTGCCAACGCTACTGCCACTACTTCTACCACTGTCCAACACAATAAGCTCAAGAAGGATCTCTAGTTTCTTGCCTCGTTCTGTTATAAGACTAAATTTGGGTTGCTTTGAAATGGTCTTTTTGATGGAATGTAGAAACCTTACCTTTGCTGCCAAAATGGTACCATAAGCTAATGACCTGGAAATGTATTTGGGATTTCTGTATATCTAAATTATGTATCTTGGAAGAAAGTGCTTTAATTTTTGAAAAAAAAATATTTTGAAAATAAAATAGATCAATAAAAGACTGGAATTATGAACAAGAATATCAAAAGAAAATGAAGCTGACATGAAATATTGAACTACAGTATTCAGAATCAGAGCTGTATATATATATAAAATTAGCTAGGTAGAAATATTTCAAGTGTAAATAATAACTTTTGTTGATATGTCAGCTCATCAGTGTGCTCAACCTATGACAGTATTAGCATCACAACCAGCTTCAAAAAGTACCAAAGATTACCTCGTTACAATGCCAATACTAGATATTTATATATATATATATATATATATATATATATATATATATATATATATATATATATATATATATATATATATATATATATATATATATATATATATATATATATATATATATATATATATATATATATATATATATATATATATTCACGTAGCGATTTGAAACCACTCGTAACACAATTATGTACCGTACTCAATGTTTGTTTCCACTCATAACATTGTATTTTTAAACCATGCACACATACATATGGATTTTAAGATATGTAATGTTGTTAATGAGTTAGTACTGTACTAGCAATTTGATTTATTGAGATTCTTAAGTCTGCAAATGTCTTGTTCTTAAAAAAAAATATAAATGCTGCAAGTAACATGAGGAACATAAAAAGATAATTAAACTCAACATCATTAATATATGCTGGTAATATCACACCAAGACATTGTCAGTAAAGGAATCTGTATTGTACTATCATCACATTAATCTTATGTTTATATGATACGTAATGTTAAAAGAGTGCACAGTTTCATTTTCAGTGATATTTTCTTGTTTAGATTTGTGGTCCAGAGTGAAGAGAAACAACTTATTAATAGCCAGTTGCAGAAAATTGTGAGTGCAAGGATCGCATAAAAGGTTCGATTTATATGTAACAAACATTCCAGGTGTTTGAAAAATGGATATGACTTCCTTTAAGACCCTAAATGATGGGATTGATGTTGCTATATTGTTTCTGTTAATAGCATCTGGGAAGTACAGTATTAGACAAGAACATGAAGCTACGAGTACAGTAATTTTGTTTTCATAAATGGGAATCAAGGATATTTAATGGACTACTCACTGGCCTTACCATCATTTGTCCTAATTTGTAACTGGTCTCTGGCATAGTATGTCTTAACTGGTCTCTTATCATGGTATACTTTAATTGGTCACTTGCATTATGGGTTCTAGCTGGTTACTGGTATGTTGTGTCCTAGGTAACTGGTTTCTGGCTCAGTGTGACTGACCTGGTCTCTGTCATGGTATTTACCAAGTGATGACTTTCTATTGTGAGTCTTAGCTGGTCATTGGCTGAGTGTATCCTACTAGTCTCCAGAGCATTATGTCCTTAGTGGTCTATACCATTGTGTTGTAACTGCAGACAAGGTGTATTCCAACTAGTCATAATGTCTAAATTGGTGATTGTAGTGCTGAACCAACATCGTGTCCTGAGAGTCATTTTCTTTTACTCTTGATTTTCAGGAATTGAGAATGTTCAGGTGTGAGTGGTGGTGTAGCAAGACGAAGACCTCTGTGCTGGCGTCAGTGTTGCTTTAATCAAACGTTAGTGTATTTAATCTGTATCTTCCAGTCTTATTCTTTACTTTATCCAACACACGTTGAGGAATTATGTGAAATATGCCTTATATGAAGTGGTTGATTAAGACTAAATGGTGGTAATATGTTTATGTAACAGGTGAGTCATGTTCACTCTTCAGAATTTGTTGTTTTCTGCAAATTGTTCTATTCAGAATAGTAGGTCATTCATAGGCTTCTTTACAATCTCACCTGTTTATTCATTCATGAGAATGCCAGTTTACATCTTGTACACTTCAGCAGAAAGTTTCTGTGCCTCAAACACATTCACAAATTTTACTGTATTAAATGTTATATGTAATTTTTATTACATGGATAGTTTGTCATTTGTATATGATTGGCCAAACATATTCAATAATGTTTGTGTGTACATTTGTGTACATGTTTGTATGCATATTATGTCCAGTTGATTAGCTGGTGGCATTAGTACCACTGGGATGAACTATCTGTGGTGAAGAGGCATTTTTCTGGACACACATAGTACATATAGGTTCAGCTGTACGATTGAAGTACTGTAAAGAAAATGATTTGTCAATCAAGCTTTGCCCACTTTTGATATCCATAGCAACCATAGCAGTTCATAAAAGTTGATTACAGTACTGTATGTGAATCCAAATGGTCATACTGCTGTCTCGGTGAATTCATCATAATTTTTCTTCATTTTCATTGTTATATATACGAGTAATCTAAAAAAAATTAAGTTGTACTTGGAATTATTACTCTATCACAAGTTGGATTTTTGTTGTATTAGATATTAAAATGAAAAAAAATCTATGGATTTCCCAATATGGTAGCAGTTAACTTATATGAATTCTTACATACTGTACTTACTTAGTCTTATAAGTAGTTATTTCTATTCTTTGTTGTTACTCTGTTACCTCCTTGATTGTCCTTTTTGCCACCTTTAAGCTTCTAACTTGTTCAGGTGGTTGATCATTTGTCTGTTGTTAGAGAAACCAAAAGGGGCTGTAGTTAAGTTGATAGGTCAGTTACCCATGTTCAGATATTCATGTACCGTTTATTATATAATGCTACAGTATTATAGTTTGCTCCTCTTGTCCCAAGTTTTATGGGCACTTAATATTTTCCAGATGCAAACCTTTGTAAATAAGAACTGTCTCCTTGTATAAGTGATAACATTTGAGTGTAGAGAGGAGCGCTGTGGTGTCTCCTCATGTCAATCACTCCTGTAGTGTTCACTGCAGGAGATTATATTTGGGAGATAGACTTTGTTTTGGTAGAGCCAAGGAGTTTCTCTGCTTTTATAAAATGTGTAGGAGATAAATGAAGATTTATATGTTCAAAGTATTATGCAGTGTCACATGTTTATATAATCTAAATACAAATGATTAATGAGCAAACACATTAAAAACGAGATTTCATATAGGTACCAGTGGACGTGTCAAAATTTCAAGAGTAAATTTTTTTCCTAATTATGTCAAAAGTATAGTCCCACCAAAAATTTAAGTCAAAATTAAAATGTTCAGTGCATTGAGTAGGATGTTGCAGCATAACACCTTACAAAAATAATATATAAAAGCTTTGACGTTAATATGACACCTGCCGTAATGCACAGGTTTACCCGGTAGTATTAATCGTAGTCACGTACTGCACTGCAACCATGTAATTGATATCACTGAATGAAGGTCAACAGTACAGTATTAGTATGGTGTTATCTGGTGTTGTAAGAGAATTTGCCCGTGCTACCAAATGACTTGTCTTGTGGTGTCCCTCATTCACTGTTGATATAAATGTGTTGATGCTTGTGGAAGGATAGCCGTAACGAGAAGATTTTCACTGCTACAGTATTTCTATTTTTCTAAAACTTCCTGAGCTGTTCTGCTTTATCTGTACATTATTAGGAACACTTAGTGATTAGCCCCTTAGCTTATTTTACTTGATTGAACGGCAACACTAACCTGACGTAACTAGAATAATCAAACCTAACCTAACCCCTCCTAGGTAGCATAAGGGTATTTAATCATCAGGTCAAATAAGCTAGAGGGGGCCTAATATTCAGGTGATCTATTTATTTATATAATTATTTAAAGTGTTTGTGTTTTTTTATTGTATTGGTGTTTTACATTTATTTATTTTTCTGTTTTTGTCTCACATCAAGATGTCATGATATCATTTGAGAAAACTATTGTTACGTTTTCTTTCATCTGTAATGCTGTTAAATCTTTCTTGGCTTGGCTAGAGTGAAACCCCAGTCTGAACCTCCTCTGCATCATCCTTGGCTAAGTTGAACCCCTCCACCCCCAAGTTGAGTCTCCTATGGGCTATGTTGAACTCTCCCCAAATTTGAACCTCCTGTGGACTATTTTGAACCCTCTCCCCCAACTTGAGTCTCCTTTGGGCTATGTTGAACCCAGTTTCATTCTTGAGCCTGATTGAATCCTGTTGGCTGTATTTCCAGGTTGAGTGAGTCAGTTGAGTATAAGAGCCACAGGTTTAATCTTTTGGCTTGATTGAACCTGGGATTGAACCTCTGTTAGTAAGAGTGAATTTGGAATTGAACATCAGTTGAAATGATAATGGGACTGAACCTCCCTGTTGGTTAGACTGAACCCTGGATTAAACTTATGTTGACTGGCTGAGCTTCGGATTGAACCTCATTTTTGGCTCAACTGAGCATTGCATTGATTTGCTGCAAGCTAGAATTGAACCTCCCTCTTGGTTAAGCCAGACCTTGAACCTCTGTTAGTTTCGATGAATTGGACCTATTGGCTAAAATGAATCTAGAATTGAACATCCCTGTTGACTAGGCTGAATCCTGGAATGAACCTCTTAGCTAAAGAACATTTTGGCTAAGTTGAATATTGAACCGGTGTTAGCTAAATTGAACCTTGGATTAAACTTCAGTTGGCTAGGTTGAACCTTCCTGTTGACTAAACCTTGGATTGAACTTCCTCTTGGCAAAAGCTTTGATTAAACTTCCGTGTTGACCAGGCTAAGGCTGGCTTCACACTGAACTGTCACGACACGACTCCACCAGTCATGTCTGGTGCAAACAAAAATGAAGGATTTAGATGAAGCCGTTTCACACTGACCGGACACAATGCGACGTGACAAAAACACCAACTGTCATGCCTGGTGCTGTCTGGCTGCTCTTTATTAGGGCCAGTCAAGTTCCATACTCCAAAATGTGAAGATGGAGGGCAATTTATAACTTCACTATGAAGGATCACAGCAATAGAGGAGTTGTGGATAAGCTTTGGGAGGGAATTTCAAATGATCTGAAGATCACCAGTAAGTAATAGCTATATAATTTATAAACTGTATACAGAAGCCGCAGGTCCAGAAAACTGTGAGAGCAAACTTTTTCAGAGTGAGTTGTGATCTCTTGGAACAATCTACCAGAAAATGTTGTGATGGCACCGTGTGTAAGCTCTTTCAAGACCAGACTTGATCAACGCTGGAGCAGGTTCAGGTGCCGGTGCATGCCCAGTACTTGCCAACAATGCGAAACGAGACGTGACCGATCGCCGAAGCGGCTAACGAGCTGATCAGTGATGAGGATAAAAGTTTTAAAAGGGATATATAAGTATATTTGCCAAGGGCCTAGCTGAGATACAGTAGAATAAATATATGTCTGCATTGCCATTCTTGACTACTACTTTCGTGTTGTGTTGTGTCGTGACAGCTCAGTGTGAAACCCGCTGAAACCTTAGATTAAACCTCCCTGTTGAATAGGCTAAATCTTACACAGTAGTGAACATTCCTGTTGACTAAGCAAAACCTTGGATTAAACCTCCCTGTTGACTAAACTAAACCCTAGATTAAACCTCCCTGTTGACTAAGCTAAACCTTAGATTAAACTTCCCTGTTGACTAAGCTAAACCGTAGATTAAACCTCTCCTTCATTGAACCTCCCATTGGTAAGTTTATGATACCGCTGCTGGATGGCCATGAAACAGGTCACTTGATTGCATGGTGTCAGTCCTCTCCTGTTTACTATTCTCCAATTGGCTGAGATTAGAGCAGCTGCCTGAGGTGGGATTGTTCGATCACCCAAACTGAAATCTACCTTCCCCTAACCTAACCAACCAAATATTTTCTAAGTTAATTAATTTAACCTAAGCTAACTTTCTTTTAATCCAACTCTGGTGTACCTTAAACCTAACTTAACCCAATTCCACTCTAATCTGATCTAACCAAACCTAAACTTATTCCTAACCAAACTGATGCACCCAAATACTGTCGCCTAAATCAGTATTATTCCATCTTACCTACTCCCTACCTCATCCTTACCCTAATATAATAAAACCATTTTTACCTAACCTTCCTTACCTAATATTTTTTACCCACACTCAACTTAACCATATCAAACCTTGCCAATGCCCAACCTAACCTACCCTAAGCTTCGTATAATCGAACCCTACCCTAAACTTCATCTAATCTAACTCAACCCTGGTTTAACCTATTCAAACCCTCATATTTAGGGTGGCAAGGTGGGTCTGGGGATCCTGTGTCCCAGCTGAGTCGGGTGTTGGAAGCTCAGAAGGTGGATGGCTGTCACTACTATGTCTCAAATGCATTTATTCTCCGTTTTCACATTGTCTGTTAACTAAAGTTATAAGATAAAGGATTTCTAATATACCAAGTATTTCATTTAACCATCTTAACTTGCTCGGTAAAATCTTCCTTACAAGTTAACATTATTCAATATATACTGTGTACTGTATGGCGAATGCAGGTACCCTTAGCGTAGCTAGGGGGGGGCGGTCCGCCCCGGGCGGCACTTTTGGGGGGGCGGCACTTTTGGGTCTGCTCATCACCCATATCTGCAGCAACTGGAGACGTTAATCCATCCCTTTGTATCGGCGGCAAGTTAATCCTTGTCGTGTCTGACCTAACACCTGACCCACATCATCACGGCCACGTCATGAGCTACACCCTTGCTATGCCCCCCCCCGCCACACACACAACCTGTAACCTGTTGAGGATTAAGGAAACTTATAAAGTTTAAGTATGTTTGATGTGTATTTAAAGCATACTATATTTGAGTATGTGAAAGTACAGTAATATTATAATGGTACACAAACTATTTAATATATATATATATATATATATATATATATATATATATATATATATATATATATATATATATATATATATATATATATATATATATATATATATATATATATATATATATATAAGAGTGAGTCACTGTGCAATATGTATTTTTTGTGGGGGCACGGGGGGAGGGGGGGGGGCAAACTCAACGGCCGCCCCGGGCGGCACACACTCTAGCTACGCCACTGGCAGGTACTATATAGTTAAGCATGTACTGTATAAAGATAATGCATGTAGAGAGTACAGTGTATTCAGCAAGTTTGTAGGCAATGCAGGTATACAATGTACTGTACTATATAGGCTGCAGGTTCAGTATACTGTACAATGTAAGTTCTGTCCTGTACTTAACAGTGTGAGTATACAAACAATGATAACCAGGTCGACCAAGTATCGCCAAAAAAACCATCAGATGCTTTTCGTAAAAAAACTTACAAATTGTGTAATGCTAAATGGTTTGGAAAATATTCAAATTGGCCTCTAGTCTTTATAAGCCTCAACCAAACCATTATGATTGGGGGCTCATTGGGACTTTACCTCGGGTTTGTGTGTTATTCTGAAAGTACTTAATTAGTTAAACCCCTTAAATTTCAATTCTGAGAAAAAAGTATATTTGGTCAAAAATTTTGTAAGGTGTAAGACTTACATTTTTGGTGGTTTTTGGCCAAAAATCAGATTTTGCTGAAAATCACAGTATGGGTACTCCTGAGCTTGCTGATAATGAATATGTGGTCCACGGTTCGATTGTAGAGTAATTAGTGGCCAAAATAACCCTAGGGAGTGAGGAGGAAAAATGGCAAGTTATTCGGCAGGCAAAAAACTTAGCAAGGAGCGAGGAATTTCGGGATGTATTTATTCACCCAGACCGCACGGTAATGCAGAGGGAACAGCACAAGAAGCTCCTGCAGGACTTGAAGCAGAAGAGGGAGGAGTCGAGGAGGAACGGGGACAGGTGCACATGGGTTATACTCAGGGGGAGGGTAGTGGAAACAAGTGTGCCGACACAGGGCCAGGGGGCAGCAGTGCACCCTCCACCCACTCAACCCCCCACCCGGGAGGCGGCACCAGCTCAGCCTACCGGACAGGAGGGAACGAGCGCCGTGTAAACAATGACATTTTTAACCACACCCTGCAAAATACAGTGTACTTAGCAAATGCTGCAGCTTCTGAGAATGTGGGTGGAGCGGGTTTATTACTAAGAGCAGAGACGTTACCGAGAACAAATTCTGGCTTGAATGTCATGTACACTAATACTGACACGTTCCTTGATAAGAGAGAGGAGTTTGAAACACTACTAAGAGTACACCAACCAGATATTGTAGGAGTTGTAGAACTGTTGTACAAGAACAGGAGAATCGACCCAGAGGAATGTGAGTTCAGTATGGCTGGATATGACTCATTTACGAACCTAACTCAAGAATCCTGCAGGAGGGGTGTGGTTATCTACGCTAGGCAAGACCTTAGAGCCAGCCAGGCGAGGGTACAGGGAGAGGATGTTTTTGAAGAGTCCAAGTGGTGTAAAATTAAATTAAAGGGAGGGGACTTACTTATCGTCGGGTGTATCTACAGATCCCCGAACTGTGGCCCACTAAATCAAAGGAACTTAAGAACCTTAATAAACAATGCGGCGATGCTCAACCCCAGCCACCTCCTTATCATGGGGGACTTTAACTATGGCGACATCGACTGGAGAAACGAGTCCACCCCGAATGACTTGAATAATCCTGCTACTCTTTTTGTAGAAACTCTGAGAGATAATTTTCTGTTCCAGCATGTGAGAGACCCGACACATTACAGAGGGGAGCAAACACCCAAGCCACTTGACCTCATCATAACAAACGAGGAGGGTATGGTGGCCAAACTGGAACACCTTGCCCCAGTTGGCACCAGTCACCATACAGTGTTGTCATTCAGATTTAACTGTTACCTAGTTCAAGATAAGGCCAGGCCAAGGTGCAAATATTACAAGGGAAATTACAATGGGATGAGGGAAGAGATGAGGGGTATCAACTGGCCTGACTTATTAAGGTACAAGAACGCAGACACTACGCTGAATATCATAACTAGTAAAATGACCCATTTGATCGATAAATATATACCCAAGACCAAACCCAGTGCTTCTAGGAATACGAGGGGATCCCTACACATGAACCATGCGGCGGTCGACAAAATTAAGAAGAAAACCCAGAAATTCAAGACGTGGGTTGGGTCAAACGATGAGCAAGACAGGAGGATGTATGCAAGAGCCAGAAACCAAGCAAAGATAGAGTGTAGGAGGGCTGAAAAGGAGTTCCAAAGGCTGGTTGCACGCGAGGTCAAGTCAAACCCAAAGGCGTTTTACCGCTATGCAAAGTCGAAATTGAAAACGCGAGTAGGAGTATCAGACCTGAGGCTTGAAGATGGTAGTTACGCAGATTCTGACCAGGATAAAGCTGAGGCATTGAACAGCTTCTTTTCCTCAGTGTTCACAAGAGAGGATGCAACTAACCTTCCTGCGTTTGAGGACAGACGGTTCGACACAGCACTGACCCACATTGTGTTCACAGAAGAGGGTATTAGAAATAAACTGTCCAGGCTAATGGTCCATAAGAGTCCTGGACCTGACATGGTGCATCCTAGAGTGCTAAGGGAGCTGTGCAACGAGCTTGCAGAGCCCCTGAAGATTCTGTTTTGTAAATGCCTGGATGAACAAATGGTCCCCAGTGAATGGAAAGTGGCTTATGTGAGTCCTATCTTCAAGAAGGGCGATAGTCTCTCCACGAACAACTATAGACCGGTGAGCCTGACCAGCATAATATGTAAAGTACTTGAGAGTATTATCAGAGATGCAGCGATGGAACATCTACTACGAAACAACCTTGTAAAAGATTGCCAACACGGTTTTATGCCGGGGCGCTCTTGCTTGACACAATTGCTCAAGGTATTGGATATTTGGACCCATATTCTAGAACGGGGTGGTAATATCGACAATATTTACCTAGATTTTGCCAAGGCTTTCGACAGTGTACCCCACGAAAGGCTGAAAATCAAACTGGAAGGGTACGGAATTCGGGGAAATGTCCTAGCGTGGATAGAAGACTTTCTACATGACCGCAAGCAATGTGTGGTGATTAATGGCACGAAATCGTCATCTGTACCTGTAACAAGTGGGGTACCGCAGGGTAGTGTATTGGGCCCGCTGTTGTTTGTTTGTTTCATAAATGATATGCCTGACGTTGTACACTCCTCCATACAAATGTTTGCCGATGACGCCAAGTTATTTCGGGAAATTAAGAACCAAGCGGACTGTGAAGAGCTGCAGAAGGACCTCTGTGGGCTCCAGGAATGGTCGAAGGAATGGCTGCTGAGATTCAATGTCACGAAGTGTAAGAGGATGCACCTGGGGCGTACCAACGGTAAGGAGGCGTACCATATGTCCCAACGGGATGAAGAAAATGTACTAGTTGAGACTGTGTGTGAGAAGGACCTAGGTGTGTATGTTGACAATGAGCTGAAGTTCTCGGGCCATTGTGAGAAGAAGGTAAATCAGGCAAATAAATTATTGGGTCTTATAAGAAGGTCGTTCAGATATCTAGACGGTCCGTCCCTCGTGACGATCTTCAGGAGTGAAGTGCTTCCCCATCTGGAGTACTGTCACCCCATCTGGTCCCCGAGATATGCTAGGGACTGTCAGTTGGTTGAAAATGTTCAAAGGAGGGCCACCAAACTGGTGCCTGCACTTCGGCACCTCAGCTACCCTGAGAGATTGGAGCGCCTGAACTTGCCTAGCTTATACTACAGACGGGCAAGGGGGGACCTAGTTGAGGTTTATAAGCATCTCAGGGGGCACTACTCAGTTGAGTGTCCTTACTTGGAGCTGGCGGACGCTCGCCCCACAAGGGGTCACAGCTCAAGATTGAAGAAGCCGCAAGTCCAGAAAACCGTGAGGGCAAACTTTTTCGGAGTGAGGGTTGTAAACTCTTGGAACAATCTACCAGAAAGTGTTGTGACGGCACCGAGTGTGAGCTCTTTCAAGAGAAGACTTGACCAACACTGGAGCGGGTTCAGGTACATTCAGGAGCCGGTGCATGCCCAGTATTTGCCAACAGTGCGTGACAGAGACGTGACCGATCGCCCGGGCGGCTAGCGAGCCGACCTTTTGGTGAAGAATATAAAGGAAAAGAGACGTGACCGATCGCCCAAGCGGCTAACAAGCCGATCAGTGGCGAAGAGGATAAAAGTAAAAGAAATATTTTAATTTTTTAATGAAATTTTTCAATGCTAATTACTCATCAACTATGGGTTTCCAATGTGTGATTTGGGGTTAGTGTATTATTCTGAAAGTACTTAATTATTTAAACCCCTTAAATTTAAATTCTGGTGAAAAAAGTATATTTTGGTCAAGAATTTTGTAAGGTGTAAGACTTACATTTTTGGTGGTTTTTGGCCATCAACTATGGGTTTCCAATTACTCTGCAATCGAACCGTGGACCACATATTCATAATCAGCATGGACTTCTTGACCAATGTGCTCTCTTGATTTCATGTCAAGAATGAACCTCACTTTCTTGTTCTGAATAATTTGTAGCTTGAGTTTTAGATTCTTTGTTAAGGGATGAAGCACGCCTCACACTCCCATACATTTTCAATGCTGGTGACATCTAGCTTGGCTATACAGATATAATATTGTATCACAAGTCAACACAGTTAGGTGATGTGATGTTAATGGGTAGAATGACTTTTTTTACACTTAAGCAAATCTTTATTATACTTCATTACATAGTCTGTTCCGTGATGGATGTACTGTACATACTTCTGGTATTGCAGTACGTTACAGTATTTGTATATGTCAATATTAAACAGTTATCAAAGGTACATACAGACAATGATACAGTACTGCAGGTGGCATAATAATGTTCTTTGGAGCCTGTGTGTGGGTGTGTGAAGAAGAGGTCTACAGTGTCTTTAGATAAAAACAGTATCTCGCCCCAGCACCTATATTTTGTACATGTTTTCAGTTTAAAGACACTCTAAACGTCTTCTCCACACACACACCATGTCGTTGTTTCACATTCCCATTGCCGTAGTGTTCAGCCTCAAATACACTACAGCTCAGCACATCACTTGTGTTTCCTCCCACGCACTGACTGGCAACACACGAGATGCTGGTACAACTCTGCCATCTGAGTGAACAGTTTCTCTCCGTCACAGGTTGAGTAAGCCTGGTGGTGTAGGTAAATTTAGTTTTGTTTTGTTTAATTCATTTTAGGATGGGTTCGTTCAGGGGTCATATTAAGGGTTCAAAATTGGCACGACACTTGCGGTACCTGTGTGTGTGTGTGAGATAAGAGTAAGGCAAACCTTTTTAATGCGTACATGGACCTAAAAATCACAGACTTCACAAAGGGTAAATAACATTAAAAGGAAGCAGGTGACATCAGAATTGGCAGTATGACGTCACAAGACAAGTGACATCACATGAGACAGTTGATATAACAGGACAGGTGACGTCAGAGGGGCAGGAGGGAGGGGGTGATTACTTGCCGGAAGCTTCCATTTGTTCCCTCAGTTTGCCATGGTTGGTCTGGGCAATGAAGTCTGGTAACTCGATGCCCACTGGAGGAAGACATAAAGGTTAGGCACCCTAGCTTATTTCTCGTGAAGATTAGGCACCCTAGCTTATTTCACGTGAAGATTAGGCACTTTAGGTTATTCCACGTGGGTATTAATCACCCTAGCCTAACCCCTGCAGGTAACGTTGGGTGTTTAATCATCATGTGAAATAAGCTAGGGTGCCTAATATTCAGGTAATCAAATAATATTAGTAGTAAGAGTACTCCCGTGTATTTCTGTGTGGTTTTTGTGTGAGAGTAAGAAAAGATGTGTGTGTGTCTGTATGTTTGTTTCTATTTGAGTACTGTAGATACGTTTGTATAGGTCTCATTGCTTGTGAGTCTTGCGTGTATGTGTTCATGAAATAAACACTACAAATGAATAAATATAAACATAACAATTCCCCCCCCCCATAAAAAATCATTATTCATTTCTACACACACACACAGAGGGACATTCTAACACCATATCACCCCCAAAATTCACCAAGACCAAGATGTCAATAATGATCACCCATTTTCTCCAATAACTCGCGTTCACCACCGAAACAATATACTGTGGGGGATGAAGGTGGCCTGTGGAGGTGTTAATATTTACCCAAACTTCCATTAGTGGATTGAAGGAGGGACAATAACAGGGTGGATCAATTCAGGCGAGAACAAGTGAATATCAACGTGCGTGATTCCCACAGGTGTCAGGATCCTTAGGTGTGATGGCGTGTATATGGGTCGTAGGTGCGTGTGTTTGGTGTGGAGGCAGGTGTGTTGGGGTGTAGAGACAGGTGTGTTGGGGTGTAGAGACAGGTGTGTTGGGGTGTAGAGACAGGTGTGTGGCGATTTAGAAGTAGGTGTGTAGAGGCAGATGTGTTGGGGTGTAGAGGCAGGTGTGTGGCGATTTAGAAGTAGGTGTGTAGAGGCAGATGTGTTGGGGTGTAGAGGCAGGTGTGTTGGGGTGTAGAAGTAGGTATGTTTGGGTGTAGCGGCAGATATGTTAAGGTGTAGTGGCAGATGTGTTTCGGGTGTAGCGGCAGATGTGTTTAGATGTAGAGGTAGGTGTGCTAAGATGTAGAGGCAGCTGTGTTAAGGTGTAGAGGCAGGTGTGCTGGGGTGTAGAGGCAGGTGTGCTGGGGTGTAGAGGCAGGTGTGCTGGGGTGTAGAGGCAGGTGTGTCAGGTCCCCCTCAGATGTCCCAGTCTTCGGCAGCGCGTCACTAACGAAGGTAATAACACACCAGTTAGCGTTAGTGAAGGCTGGATAACCTCTCTCTTGTCTCTCTGCACTTGGCGTCTTCCTTACCACGTCAATCTTATATACTTTATTACACAACACCCCGCAGCGCCCTCACCACTTATAATTATACTTTACTTACTTATAATTATACTTTACTTACTTTACTTACTTATAATTATACTTTACAATACTTCACCACGTCTTACACATAAACACTTAACACCCGTGCCCTATATATCGTGTTTTTATCACTTGTATCTTACTTATACACTTTACAACACCGTAACATCACCATCACCACCACCACCCCATCTCGTATGCTCACTACTTATCTAAATTATACAGTACATCATTTATAGTATTGGTGAGTCTGGTCATCCTTGTTTGTGAGTGTGTGTATCTGTCTGTCTGTCCGTCCGTCAACAGCTTAATCTTCGAGCTAATGAACATAACATTTCACAGTTTAATTTTCGTGTATTCTGACTGGGCAATAAGGTACGTAAAGGATTGGTAAATAAGATAGTACTATACCCGTGGCACTTTGACTCGATTAAGAGAAGGTAAAGAACGGTGTATCTTTGAAGGGGTCACTGAGTTAGGTCATGGGTATACATCTCTTTTGGGTAATTTATTAATAAAGTAAACAGTATCTAACCAAAACTAACTTAACCACTCCTTAACCCTAACGAGAGGAAACAGAGTGACCTAACCTATCCTATGTTTTAGTCACTTAATCGTGACTTGGTAACTATAGTATAGTCGTGTGTATAATAATAATAATAATAAACGGTTTATTAATAGAGCTGCAGCCGGTTATTATATGTGTCATCCACAAGGACACCAGGTAACACAGGTACTCACGGTAATTTCGCTTGCTGGGGGTCAACTTGTACAGGTGTGGTTGAGGGAAGGAGGCGAGATCGGGAGATGCCAGTTGACTGTAGGGTGCTGGGGGGAATTGCATCAGCTGGTCCTGCTCTAGGGATGTGACCTCAACCTCACCACCTGTTATGTCCTCGCCGCTAGCTAGCTTGATGTTGTACTCCAGCTGGAAGGGCAGGAGGATGTGGGCAGGATGGGCAGTCACCACGCCACCCACTAGTAGCATCAGTACCACACACACATACCTTCCGTTCCCTGCCGCGCCACGCATTACGATTCTTTTCTGTGTGAGATATTACCAATTCTTTTCAATGGAGGGAGATAGGATTGGTTGACTGTGAAGAGGTCATTATGGGACAGGAAACATTAAGGTGTTGGTGGTAGAACGTGTGCCTCTCACTAGTTTGTCCCAGGTGAGATGTGAGAAGGGTGCTAGGCTATCTAGTGTGACCCCAGCAAACATGGCAGGTTTTCTCTGGGTACTCTCCGGTTTCCCCCTGTACTAACACTGGACCAAGGCTGTAACCAACTGCCCTTATGACAAGTACGCTAAGTCAATGTTTTAATCAATAAGTAGTAACCTCCTTATCTTTAATCTGTCTTTGTCTATCTTTATACATTGTTCTGCTCATTATCTAAAACACTCTTATATTGAAAGTAAAATGACCAATTTATAAGTAATTGACTGATGGACATATACGGCAGTGATCCAGGGTAATGTAAGGTGAATGCAACACTAAACTGAATGGGATCACCTGAAGCTTAATACACCTGATGATTAAACACTAACATTACCTATGGGGGTTAGGTTGGGTTATTCTATGTATATTTAGCGTGAAGGTAGTTAATCATAAGATAGAATTAGGTGGGGGCTAATCTTCAGGTGATCCACGGGGTTTTACACACATACACACACCTGCATTCGCCCAGTATAAGGTTAGAATTAATTCCTCAAGGTGTGGTTGTGTGTGTGGTGTTTGAGAAAGGCTGGACTCACCGTGTCACTCCTTTTCCCACTGAAGTCCAGGACGAAGTGAACCTCTCGGAAAAATCGTATTACTCCTGATGCTGTGTTCCATCCCCTCACGCCAGGTTTCCACCAATCACAGCAAGACCTCCAATACTGGAAAGGTATCGACCAATCACAATGCCTCAGGGGAGGATTGAGTAGCCGCAGTAGGATGCCTTTCGTGTACAGTCACTGAGGGGGGGGGCGGTGCTGTTATATTACGTAATTATTGTGTTTAGGAATATATTATCCATCTGTGTATTATTTATTTTTGGGGGCCAGCTCATTGTAACATTTTGGAGATTCGTTCAAGGGGTGTGTTTGCCACCTGGGGAGGGGGGGGGGGTAGCATTAGCCTGGCCAATTATAAGGTGAGATAAGCTGGGGACTGATCTTCAGTTGGTCCCAATAAATTTCAGATTTTTACGAGAATTGGAACTGATTTGAACATAGCAATAACACAGTAACATCAAATTACAGCGTATATGAATATTATCAGTATTATTCTAACGTAAATCAGTAAATGTTCAAGATTAACTGTATTCATGCTGCCCCTCATGGGTCGTCAGGCCTATGGAACCCACTCTTTTTTTTTCAACTATGGATTAACTTATCCTAAAGGAAAAAAATATTGAACATTCAGAGATAAAACTTAAACTGTAAGAGTAGGAGGCTTTTGATCTGTAGAGAAAGGGGGGGAGAGACGAAGAGCAAAAGAAAAAAAACAGGAGTTAGCATAGAAGGAAGGAAGAAGAGAAGTCAGGTGATACGGCTGGAGGACCCTCATTAGTTAGAAGCTCCGGAGTATCAGTAGACCATTACCACAACACAACACACACGCCAGTACGGTACCACCTTACCTCCCGCCCTCCCACTAAACAAATAATTATCCTTACACACTCCGCGACTAAAATGGCAGATCGGATAATGTAGGCCAAGGGAGAGAATAGGAGATGGTAGGGTGTGTGAGAGCATGTAAGGTGTGTATGTGGGTAGGTGGTGTGTGTGTGTGTGTGTGTAGGTGGGGTGTGTTTGTATGTGTGTGTGGGGGTGTGTGTGTGTGTGTGGTAGGTGGGGTGTGTGTCCAAGAACTTGTGGGTGGGGGAAGGGATTCCCAGTGTCCCAGGGAGTGCCAGTGTCCCAAGGAGTCCCAAAGAGTGCCAGATTGTCCCAAGGAGTCCCAGAGTCACAGGAAGTGCTAGTGTCCCAAAGAGTGCCAGAGAGTGCCAGTGCCCTAGGGAATTCCAAGGTGTCCCAAGAAGTCCCAGTATCCCAGAGAGTGCCAGAGTCCGAGGGAGTGCCAGAATGTTTCAAGTTGTGTCAGAGTGTCCTAGGGAGTGCCATTGTGTCCCAAGGAGTGCCAGTGTCCCAGAGAGTGCCATAGTGTTCCAGGGAGTGCCAGAGTATACTAGGGAGTGCCAAAGTGTCCCAGGGAGTGTCGGAGTGTCCCAGGGAGACCCAGTGTCCCAGGAAGTGCCAGATTGTTCCAGGGAGTGCCAGAGTGTCCAAGGGAGTGTAAGGTCTGGCTGTATAACCCTCTGCAGAAAGGTCAGTCACCAAAGTTGCATAATCCATGGAAGGACCATACACTGTAGTGGAATGCCTTTCAGATGTAACCTACTGGATTAGAGGAAGAAGGAAGGCTCAGCCAAAGGTAGTACATGTCAATCGTCTATGGCAGTATCATGGGCCAGGGCAGTACACCTGGGAAGACTCTGAGGAGCAGTCACCTACCACAGATGAGGACCAGACTGGAGATCCTGGAAGAACTCAGGCCCGTACCGATCCAGGAACTCGACCATGGACCAGGAAGAGGAGCACTGTTCCCTCTTAGTGGAACTGGACATGACAGGAGAGGGGGACCGATTTGAGGGTGTGACTGAGGTTGCTGTGCCAAGGGAGGATTCTGAAGACATCCCAGTATGTCGGCAGCAGCAGCAGAAGAAGAGAAGACCTACCAAGTTTCAGGATTATCATGTATTAATTATTTAAGAATACTCTAGAATGTATTGCATCTTTTTTGTTATGATTTACTTATTATTGTAAAGCCTCAATCGGAGTAGAACGTTCTAGAATCTCCCAGGCGTCTCTGGGTGATTTTAGGATGTTCGAGAAGCATCTGACGAGGCGTATATAAATAGCAGCGAGCAGGCTAGGAGTGAGTCGATCACTTGTTATAGTGTAAACAATAAGCCTAGCACAACAACTGAAGACAGTTGTTGTGCAAGTATTGTGGAAGTGTTGTGATTTATATAAAGTGAAAAGGTTAAGGAATTGTACACTGGAAGTGTGCTGACTATATATTCGAAGTGTGGAGTCCTGGCTGTGAAGCCATTACACTGTTAACAGTGTTTTGAAGAATCGGTGCTTATTAAAAAAAAGACTACAGTGCACAAGTGTTTCTGTGACCTTGTGGAAATCTACCTGCCTGTACACTGATACCTATCATCAGGACTGGCGGGACAGCCAGTGGTAATTCGACAACACTTGGGAGATATCTACTGCTTCTGTACACATGACCCTAGCCACTGGTAACCAGTGGTGGAAGCTGGGTAAGCAGTGAAAAGGAAGAGGGTCGTAACAAGTATATACAGTAATAGGTTAGACCCGAGCACCTACCTAAACCCAAAAGTGTTAAGTACCTGTACGTGTTCTTTTTATGTTGGGCTTTTATACATATAGGGCTTTCATATAATGATAGTATTAAAGGTTTGTTATATAAAGTACCATATTATGGACATATTTATTCAATTTCATTCTGTCATACAGTTCACAATAAAAAGAAAGAGACAAACTGTCTAGAAGATGACTAACAATGAGAATCTAATTTATGTGGTGGTACAGTAATTCATCCCTTTTTTTTTTCAAACAACAGCTGAATTAAATTATTTTCATCTTCAATAACAATCCAATGAATACAAATGACTGGAGGGAGAACATTCTGTAATACACAGCACCACTGATCAATAAGGGCATATACATTATCTAGATACAATATATCCCTACAATATTCAGTAATGGGGGTAAAAAGTGAGATGTGTTTACAGAAGTCCTGACGCAGCAGCACACGTTATACTGTACCGAGATCTAACAACACTCCAGTGTCATATTTCCAAAAATCTGTCAATCTTGAAGTTACACAATTAATTAATTAATTTAAAAAATAAACATACAACTAAATTACATAGGTACGAAATTGCATCATGAGACACAGTGAGGAAGAGATTAATGGCTGGCAAGTTTATGGAATGATACCAAGGTTGCCTAGTGACAAAACACAATGGAATGTTAATATAAATGTCAAACTTAAAATCTTGGGAGAAAATTTTTTTGATTTGTTTAGATATATCATAAACTATACTTCTTAAATACTTGAGGTTTTTTAGCATATCTTGATACCTGTATTATCTCTCAAAAATGTGTGTTATAATGACCTCTCGACTTTCCTATCGTACTATCTTCTCGCACACACACGCACACACACACCAGATGTATAAATAAACTTACCTGCAATAGTACATTAACTTACAATCAGTTATTCTTTCCACTTATCCTTTTTATTATCTTTACTTACCTACCAGCATGTGTGGGGTGGACCAAGGGACATAAAGTCTTCAAAGAAAAGGGGAGAAATAACTGGAGAGAGAAGTGAAGTGTAAAACAAGTGTAAAGTGAGTCCCAACACCAGTACGCATACAAAATTTTTGTTTGTAATTCACTTTAAAATGGCTGGCATGCTTAAAAGTGAGAGTTTTGTGGTGCTGAGAAGAAAATAAGACACCCATTTTAGATTTTCTATGTATTAATTAAGCATTTTTGACTTACGACCTGGATTTGGGTCCCTAACCCCACCGTAAGTCGGGGAGGAGTTATACTAGCAAATAAAGTGTACTTTAACATCCTCTTTCCTATTAAAAATTCCTTATTTTTATTCACAACCTGATCTTTTAGTTTCTGAATAGAGGAAAAATTTTATCACGAGTATGCACGATAAGGCATTAAATTAGATAAAAAAAAAAATCGGGATATGTAAAGTTATTTTAAAATATTTTCACATTTCCTTGAATGGAAAAGTCAGATGTTCTGTACATCCACATTACATTCCTTAATGTGCCACTTTTCTCATTCTAGCCTAAGTTTTTATACCATTACATCTATTCCTTCAACAGATCTAATCACCACAGCCTCCACTATCGCTTCTTCCTCTGACCATTATACAGTATCATAATGTCTTGTGCCCTCTGTTAGTTCTTGACATAATCTCGTAGGCTGCTCATACTGTACCCCATAAAAATACATCCCTATGAATGGTATGAAATAATGCCAATAATACCTGTGCAATTAAGGTCCACAACTACAAAAGGGGAGCATCACTCACATTAATCTGACATTTCTTGCATTGTAAGTTCTACCCAAACAATGAAGACAGACAACTAAACACTAAATCCTTGAGGGAAATAAAACATCTAAACAAGATATCCTAGTCAATGATAGTCCTTCAAAATTCAAGTTTCCCCAACTGTGTTAATCAATACCACAACTCGCATCTTTTCCATATGAATCTTTACATCCAATATTTATCGGAGGAGTAACTCTTCCCAATGTGAGATTTATATCTTACAAAGAGGTACAGTACAGTACTGTACTGGGCAACTATTTCATCTCTTAATGTACAAATCACAATTATGGAGGATTGTGATAATCAGGCAAGCAAAATATGTCCCAATAATTGTTTGCTATCTCTTTTGCGACACTTTGTGAACTATAACTACAGTAAAGGTGAATTTTTTAAAAATAATGATTATTGAGGCTACCCTAAGTTTTTTTGAGGCTGTTCAGTACAGGAGGGTGAGAGCAGTTAATGGTAATGTTGGATGAAAGAGGCAATGCATTATTACTGAGGGTGTCACTATAACAGATGCAGACAATATGAAATGTTTGGAAAACCTACAGAACTGAATGAATACTGTATAAATAAAAGCAAGGAGGTTAAGAGTTAAGGTAAGGTAACATATTTGTTGCGTTGCATTACACTATACACAGATGCTACCATTGAAGACTTGATGAGACTTTCCTGTCCCCTACTGCCAGCTCCTCTCATCATTTGTACATCACCACTTGATCATTAGAGTATTTGACATATCTACTTAATGGAACATATCAGGTGTTGGCATGATACTGTATTTGAAACCTGTGGTGTATAGTTCGCACGCTCACCTCGTAAGTGAGTGGTCCCAGGTTTAATCCCCAGACAGGTTGAAATTATGGGCAACTTTCTTTACTTCATTTACCACAGTCTAACCAGTAGTAATTAGAAACCTTCATGGTAATTTATTAACATATCGAGTCCAGTATTATCGTTAGCTAGTGTAGGTGGTAAGTTATCAGGTCTTCTTGGATTATTCCTAGATACTATGGTCCGTATTCAGTCAACATGCCTGAAGCTCGTGTAGAGAGACATTATTCAAGAACATGCTATGTTTGGTACCATTTGTTTGTTTGCTTTATGTTTGGTACAACATCCTCTCCAAAGTGCTAATGTCTTGAAATCAGTTGCATTTTGATAGTCCAGTTATTTAACATTAGTTTAGAGATAACAGGTCTGCTTACCAATTGTGAACATATTTAGTATGAATAAATGGACAGCTACAAAAACATTTTCTTTGAGCTAATCATCTATTTTTATAGAAGAGGGGTGTGGCTTATGGGTCAGGTTAGCGTGGAAATACAATAGTTTTCTCTCTCACAAAGACATACACTTTAATACACGCAACCAATGCCATTAATAAATCTGACATGATGCACCACACCTTGGATGCTGCTAATATGTTCTTCCTGCTCTTGAATCACTGTACAGTATAACACAGGATTCTGTCACACACCATAACTGTGTCACTAACAAATCTTCATCAGATGCCTTATTAAAGACATTGAACAATTGTTTAGGTGAAGCAGTTACCTTGCATTTGAACATCTAAAAGGTAATTACAGTGTCAAAGAGTATACATTGATGATTAAATACTCAAAATAAACCATCATCCTTGTGTTACTAAACCATCAAATTAAGTGTTAAACTATCATGTATTGAACTGACAATCTTGTAGGGCTAACCGTCATCCTTTAAGGTTAAGTAGTAATATTCACTGTTGGGTGCCAAGCTGGGCTGTGATCTTCCCCTACCAACTGTCTCATACATAAACACTTCCACCATCATGTGAACAGTCTTACCCTCCACAGTAGTAACCAAAATTCTCTCTACACTCAGTAATATCTGGGTCATACACATGATTGATCTGTAGTTGACCATCTTTGCCTTTTATAATTAATCATGTTACAGTATAATAAAATACATCGTATAAAACTGCACAATGAAAATTATGAGTAAATTGGTGTTAAAATTCCAATCCCTTACCAACATGAGAGTCTAGTAAATGATGTCCAGGGAATTTTGTCTGAAGAGAGCATGTTAGATTGTCCAGAATTACCAACATCAACCAAGTAAGTAAATGATGTCAATGAATCTATTCCAAAACTCATCTCACTTGAAGTGAATCACTGGAGGTGGTGCTGAAGTATAACATCTACAATAAAACCAGGAGAGAACGTCATATCATGTAGAACATTTGTCAAAGTAGAAATTATTATGGAAGTTCAGTCCCCAAATCATAACACAAAGTATCACCAGATATGTGTGTCATGTTAAAACAAACCTGCTCTAGTGATGCTGACATACCATGCATGCACAGTAAGACTCTGAAACTAGAATTTTGAAAAACAGTCAACTGAAATGTAAAATTGAACACTGCCTATTCCAGTACAGTACTTTTATGCCTCTAAGTGGAGAGTAAATCCATTAAGAAATTCTTAGGATGCTGACCAAAACTGAATGGCAATGAAAACATACAACAATAATATGATACAGTAGAGCGTTGCTATATTGGACACGCTTGAAACATCGGAAATTGGCTTTATCGGACAGTCATTCCCTCTAATTAGTCCAATACATCAAAGTTCTTACAAACTTCTAATGACTCTACTCTTATCTCATGTGGTGGTGGGTCAAGGAGTACACAAACTTCAATGAATGTGGGGAATGATAAGGGAGAATGACAGAGGAGAACAGAACAAAATAAGAGTAGAAAGTGATAGGAAAGTGCTAAGATAACAAAAAGAAATACCCACACATACTTGCTAACGACCTCAACTTTCTTACACTACACTTAACTCTTGCAAACTACTGGAGGTGAACCTCAAGACAAATACCCATCACAGTGATAATATCGGACCTTCCAAAATAACACACACTTATTATGAAACAAACACTCAAGACATATACTGTACAAAGAAACACACTGTAAAATATCTGCCCAAATTCTACACAAGCAAATGAAATTAAGTTGAGCACTGTAAATTAGGTCTTTTGCTTTGGAGACAGTAATATAAAGTAGAAATACCAGAATATAAATTTATGGCCTATGTTAACTTAAAGAAGAGAATATCCAAAAACAGATTTCCTCGCAGTTAAAATAAACTATTTTCCATAGGCAAGCTTGACTAGCTTCACCCTACAAAATCTATATAAAAATACTTAAATCTACCTCAGACACTTGGTAACTTCTTAATGTACATATTTACAATCATTAAAAATATTCTAACATGTACAAACACATAGACATCTTTTATTTTATATGAATTCAAATATTTGTAGGAAAAGTAGATTTACAAATCACAAAAAGATATTTACATCAACTAAACATAGAAGAGCACTTTCCTAATCACTGTGTAAAGAAACAAAAAAATTGCCAATCACATGTTTAACACACTCAAATACCCTAGACACCAATTAACCACCCCTTGTCCAACAAAACATGGTTTATTTCGGTCACATTCACAACCCAGGAAGCCAAGTTAAATCCTATGGTGCTATGAAGGACTTATTTGTCACAGTACAACTCCATGATTTTCAAAATTTAACATTACCTGCTTCAACTTGTCTCTGTTATCGGGTGAAATACTAAATCTTAGGTCCCAGACCATCACCTGTTCTTGAGAAGCACCTCCTGATCACCCCCAAGTACCTCTTAAGATGAAACATTTAGAGCCCTGTAAATTATTATTCCTCTCATTGAACTTACAGCTACATAAAAATCAAGTATACAAATTAAACCCACATGAAAAGATGGAAACACATTTCACTTGGTTCTTACACTATAGGCAATTTCAATTTCCAAGTTCAGGTTTATTTTCAAGGTCTTCAAACCACAGCAAATGAAGAGTTTTTAATACATTTAAAATGAAAGACCAGTTTTACATTCATCCTCAAGCACACGTTTTTGACTTAAGGTCCCAATTTTTCTGTTTTCCCCCCTCCACTTTTAAAAATATTAACATTTATTCCCAGCCAAGAACAACAAGACCTAAGTTCCAATTCCCCCAATAATTCCAAAGGCAACATCTCAACTAAATGTTTTCACCTGAGATAACATCATTAGCAACAAGTGCCCAGTAAACTTGCTGTGAGGGGACTTATTATATTCATTACAAAACTGGCAAGACACTAGTTCAGTATATTTTAAGACTCGAGCATGAGTGGATCCCTCGTATGTTGTTTAGTGCGACTCCTTTCCTCCCCACCAGCTGAAACCTTTCTACATGTGCACTACCACCACAGCCAACGTGTTGATACCAATTTTAGTTTGTGCTATAGAACATGTCAATTTTTATTAAATTTCTCTGTAATTTACCCAATTTAATCTATTATATACATACAGGGTGTCCATAAATTATCTGATCCATTTTAAAAATTAGGTACTACAAAAACATTATCGATAGAACACACTGGTTATATTATACTTGCCTGTTCCAGATGACTGGAGGAAGAATGTGATCATGAGTGCTTACAAGAGTACAGGTGATGCACTTTAGTGTGGGCGCACTACAGGAGCATGAAGCTGCTAGATCAGGTTATGAAAGTATGGAGAAATTGATAATGGAGAGAGTGAACATAAACAAATGCAATTTGCATTTATGCCAGATAGGGGGACAACACATTCAATATTTATGGCCAGGCAAATACAAGTAAAATATTTAGGGAAGGAAAGAAAGTTGTACTTCATAATTGAAAAGGCATTTGACAGAGTAGCAAGTGAAATACTAAAATGGGCAATGAGATCGCCAAGAGTCAAGGAGTACATTGTTTGAATGGTTATGGCATTATGAGGACCCAAAAACCTCTGAGAATAAATAGTGAAAGTAGGGGAATGTCCCTGGACTGGCTCAATGAATACTGTTACCTAGATGATATGACCAGTGCCAGTGGGAGTGTTTGAAGCCTGCTCAATTGCAAGAGTCAGAAGTGTCTGCATGAAGTTTAGAGAGTTGTTGCCTTTATTAACAACACGAGGACCTTCCCTCTGCATGAAAGGAAGAACGTATGCAGCAGGTGTGAGAAGTGTGATGTTGTATGGCAGTGAAACATGGGCAGTTAAAGAGGATGACATAAGCAGACCTGAGTGAGCTAAAATGAGAATGATCAGGTTTATGTATAATGTGAAAATGAAAGTCAGGAGGCCCTGTTCAGAGCTAAGAGAGGGGCTGGGTATTAAGAGTACTGTACTATATTGGCAAAGTTCTGTGTTGAGGCAGGTTGACACAGTTTGGACAAGTGGAGTGAATGAAAGACCAATTGGGTCAAGAAGTGCATGAGCCAATATGTGGAGGGGAGGAGAACCTGGGATCAGCCAAGAATGATATAGGGGAGAGGTTGTAAAAAATGACAGAGTTAGGAACCTGACAAGAGAGACTGCACGATAGTGCAGCATGGAGAGCTGCCTTCAGGTACTTGTAGGTTATTTTGAGGCCAGACAATTTATGGACATCCTATACAGTATATAAATTAAGCATCCAATATGTGAGGACAGTATCACAGACTTATTATTCTATTTGGCAGTAACAGTGACTAACAGAAATAACTCTACAGTAATTTAAAAAAGACTCAAGATAATTAATAATTTAAACAAGGTGTTGGGGTTTGCATTAAACTTTTGATTCAAAAGCAGGTAAGTGTACATCATTCAAGGTTCTTTATATTTATATCCTATATCAATGTGCAATGACTATATAAAACTTTCAAATAAATTCACCTGAATGATGCGTAAACAAATCTAGTTAAGAGATGTTTATGATAAACTTTAATATATCTCTATACTCTCATAAATAAAATAGCATGCCATAGTTAATTTACCACAATAGGTGACAAATCGTCATTGGTGAACAAAACAGGTCTTACTCTCGTGAACCTAATCTTTGCTCCTGGGATGAAGTAAGAATGTACACGGCACTCCACTGACTATTAAATATTCAATAATAACACTAATACCTAGCAGGAGACTGTAAAGAATTCAGCACCCATCTGTAATCTGAGAGAGAACATTGCATCTCTGTTTTGTTTTGTAATATTTAGTGGGGTCGCTGGGGGATGTGAGGCCGGTCTGGTTGTCTTGGAGGCACAATGGGCACTGGACGCCTGCAAGAAAAAAAGACTATAAAAAAGTCTTCTGTTTCCAAATGAGACAAAAATATTTCTACATTTAACACAAAAATTAAATTGAATTACATTTCAAAGGTTCATTAACTTAATTAAGGCATACAGTTAAATGATATTGTACAACCAAATGGAAAGTTATAACAGCATAAGTATTTTAACAAATACAGTACTATAGTTACAATATCTACTGTGTTTAACATCACTATGTCAACTAATCTTTTTGTAAAGTTGATACAGAATAACATACATGTTCAAAGACAGAACAAAACATGCTTTTTACTTATCTTTCTTGGGCCTTGCGTGTTTAGCTATAGTTTATAGAAAAAAAGTCAACCACCAGGAAAATAATAATATTAAATCTAGGGTCAAGTACCTCAGGCCCCAATTACTGGTTGCCAATTAGTCTAAGTCTGGTAACTGTAATGACTAATTCGGTTCACCATGTTATGTCCAAGCTTGGTATTTCTGTTATGGCTGAATCTAGTAGGTGTGTCATGTCTGAGTCTGTCTATAAGGCCGTGTATACTGCAGCATGATGTTATGTTTCACTTCAGTATCGGAGTTTATGTTCACGTCCAACAACCAGGTCACATTTACGTTGTGGATTTTAAATGAGAATAACATTAAGTTTACATCTTTTATTGTACACTGCCCTGGTATTAACAGGAAGAAAGCCGACAGTAACAAGGATAAACACACTGCCCTTCACATCACCCACCAGAACCAGTTGAGAAATACCTCTTGCCAATGTATCATAACACACACACATACATATATACATAAATAATACATACACACATGCATACACAAGCACACACATACATTCAAGAAGCAAATTCAACCAACACACTAATACACACACACACACACACACGAGTATTCATGCCAGTAAAAGATCATTTAAAGTTATGACAAGGCATTACTCCTCCAACATTTTCTTTGGCCCAGGACCCTCATGGATCTAGACTGTATATACTCAACTGGCTATCTCTACAAACCCCCAACACACAATTTCTGATCCACACTGCAACTACGTATTTTTCTTTTCCGATTGACCACAAGATTTGATTTTTTTATAGGATTTTACCGATAGATACTAGTTTGAAGAAGACACTGGTAACCTTACTTAAGTATATTCCACATTGTGATTTGCAGACAGTAAATAGTCGTTAGCATTTACAATCTGACTTTTTTTTTTGAAGGGGGCTCATTTAGTTCTCATTTAACCTGGCTACAATCCTTCTCTGTCTATTTTCCTTACACTATCTCTTACTGTCTCTGTCTCTTTCTCTGTCTGATCCTAACAACTGCATAATCAACAAGAAGAACAAGGTACAACAAGAATGAAGAGCTATGCACACATACACAAAGGACACTGACCAGATACTACAGGTTTCTACACGCTTAGTATTATTGCATCTCTTGGGCGCTGCTTCTTCTTCTTCTTCCCATAAAATATTTTAACATCATTCATCGGAGTCTAATATAGTACAGTACAGTACCATGAAGAAGAGATCCCACAAACAGAAAACTGATAAAGAGGCAATTATCTAGGAGCACCACTACAGCATACAGTACTCTCCTGTTATCTGCTCAAGGATCAACATCTACTACTGTACTGTAATCTTCCTCGTCTCATTTGTTGGCTCCTGGATCAATGTCTACAGCTGATACACCATCGTCTCGTGTGATGGCTCTTAAATCAATATCTATCTACGAATATTTTTAACAACCAGTCTCATTTCTACCTGCCTCTTACGTCAATATCTATCTATTACATGTTTTTGCGTTTTTTAACCATCCATATCAGTGACAAAAGGGAACATGGATCTGCTTCTTCCAAAGTCCATTGCCAATGCTTTCTGCACACCCAAGATGGAATGAGACATGACAGCAGTGTAACAGTAAGTGAAAAAAAAAAAATCCACATACAGTATTTAGCTGTTTCAGTTTATTTTCAGGTTAAAAGAAGGAAGGAGACTGACACAAAGAGACCACATAATTTTACATAATTTACAATATATCTTCTATTGCCTTAATATGAATCCAACAATAGTTAGTACACACACATGTGACCCCCACTGTGGAGGCAACATGATAACTCCACAGTTCATGATGATAGTGATATGAGACAAGTGTTCCACAACATAGAGTGCCCCAGAATCTAGCACAAGTGATTAATAAGCTTTATATATAAACTCTGAAACTTTAACATCCAGTGGTAGTAAATAACAAATAGAGAAGCCCTTACAACACACACTCATATTGTCTTTGGTAACAGAGTGGCTAAAAGAAAAGTGAGTAATAAGCATTAAACACCCAAATATTATCAAGAGCTCTGCTTGACATGCACAAACAAAACAATGACTGTGCCTTCTGCAGACATATACATGGAGTGAATCACTGATTCACAATTGCATTAACATAATACATATTTACTCTTCACAAAATATATTTACAAAGTCAAAATATCTTTTAATATTTTATAATATTTTTGACATGTCACCAGCAAATGGCATCAATTAACCTCAACACTGAATGTGCAGTTACTCACTAGCAATTACTACATGATGATGGAAGGCCATTTCTACAAACTTCCACACAATATATATATATATATATATATATATATATATATATATATATATATATATATATATATATATATATATATATATATATATATATATATATATATATATATACATTTATCAGCATACCTGGATCATACACCTATAGTGATATATATATATATATATATATATATATATATATATATATATATATATATATATATATATATATATATATACACACCAAGATTTAATTGTATTCCACAAGTGCAGACAACCCCACTTACACCTTTACTGTACAACACTACTATAATCCCCTCTTCTACACAACTACCACTGTTACTACACATCAGGGAGTCAACACGTCATAATTCTTGTTTACTTAAAAATATCAGAAACATTTATGTAGTTTCTCAGACAGTTTTGAAATGAATGATGTGTTATTGTGATAATCTAGAATTATAAATGACTTTAGCCACAACAGCTGCACGATGCCTATTACAGAATAAAAAAAAAGTCACAATACTAAACTCAATAACAATAATTACAATAAAAACTTATGCCTGTGTACAATTCATAATTACAACAACACAGGAGAAGGAAACTGCACATAACTTTAAATACTGAAAATTAATATGGGTTCTAAAACAGTGCCAACAAAAGCTTCAAGGTCCTCCTTGTTGCATATGATGAATCTTGTCACAGTAAACAACAAAAAAGTAAATAAAACTTACCTGATTTTGGAGGAGGTAAAGTCAGGAGGAGGTAAATATTTTCACATATATAATTAACACATGGGAAACAATGGTGCATGCCACTCATATGACACCTGTTTATACACTTGTCAAGATCACCAGCCATGGAGTGTGCACCAAGTGTGTATGATGCTCATCAGGGATTTGTGAAGTTGAAGCCATCAGGCCCTTCATAACTTACACCATCACAATAACTCCATAGGGTAATCTCTCAAGGTTATTGCCAGACATATGAGTGATACAGTCAGTTAGAAGTATCAGTCACGATACATTCAAACTAAACGATCATAAATTATTATGAAATGAGAGTTTAGAGGATAGTTGGGGGAAGAAGGGCTGGTGGTGGAGAACACCACTAGATTTAAGAAGATAATAACACTACAGATCATATCGTAAGAATCATAGCAACTGAGTCACACCCATTCAAAATCATTCCTCATAAGTCCATAGCCAGAGTTATTTTTTCAAGAATGCTCTTGACTTTAGGGATAGAAGCCGGGCTAGTATTTTGTCTTGAACTTTTTAAATCAAACTTGAATAATAACATCAATACAAAGGGTAAAACTTAATCAGCTAGGGTCGCACCCTGTAAATCTGTCCTGTCAAACACGAGCACTATTTCTTTAAGCCAGGCAGGCAGGCAGGCATGCACACTTAAACATTGTCTTGCCTACTTGGAACCCCTAGAGTGACACCTTTAATATCTCATCAGAGAAAGTCACTGGTGTTTAATGTCTATTAATGTCACAATATCTTGGACAGAGGATGCACAAAAATCATAGGTAAATTACAGAGAATATTCATATCAATTTCAAGTGTAATATTCACACCTATTTCTAAAGATAAAATCCAAAAGTCCTTACTGCACTTCTTTAGTAACTAAAATACTATATAAAATTTACATTGGAAGAAATCTGTCAATTGTGTAATATCTATTAAAAGGAGAATACAGCACCCCCTAACTGTGGCCTGGCGGTGCAAGTTACAATGATTTATATTAACTCTCTCTCTCTCTCTCTCTCTCTCTCTCTCAAACAGTAATGGCTTGTTTGGCACTAGAGGAGGGCTAATGTACAGTAATACTTACATGTTTCATCAACTTCTCTAACATATATGTAATGCCTCATTCAAATATTTCACAAGTGACATTTGAGGTATTTGATCATTGATTATGACATTATACTATGAAGATATCTTTTTTTATAACTTTTACAAGCCTTTTACCTCCATCAGAAGTGAAGGAAAAAAAACAGTTTCATAAAATTTCCATTGAAAATATTAAGCTTCCACCTGTTTATCTATTACTTGTTTATTACTGTATCTATCAAATTAAGGCATAATACACTGTTAATCTATCTAAACCATTTAATTTAGTCCAACAGAAAAGAGGAGAAGAATTACAAGCTCCAATGGTTACAAGTGATATAGCCCAATTCTTAAAACAGAATAATTATGACTAAAAGGATCAATAAATGCAAAATAATATATATGAGGGTTTTATTTTGTGTGTAGTGTTCGTCATATATATATATATATATATATATATATATATATATATATATATATATATATATATATATATATATATATATATATATATATATATATATATATATATATATATATATATATATATATATACTGTACTGTA